CAACTTTATTAACATGGCTGGGAGCGATCTGAGAGCCTGTAAACAGATGGACAAGGCTCATTTATGTTACATTTTAAAACTTATTTAAGGGGCGGCGGGGGCAGAGCAGGGCCAGCTACAGCTGGCGACCCTGCCTGCCCGCCCAGCTGCACAGTCAGTGAAGGTGCGTTCTAATAGTGAATTTAGTGCAGAGCATAGTGCGCGTTCGGTGGATAGTGCAGTGAAAAGTGCGCGGTTTGTAAATAAAGCCACATCTCCCGTATTGCATACTCGGTTTTAGTGAATGTGTGAGATGTTGGACTTCAAAAAACTCTAAGATTAATTTAAGCAATAAGAATATAACCTACATACATATTTAAACAAATTTTATCGTTAAATTTATCAATTAAGAGTTAAATCATTGTTGTTTAATAAAAATTTACTTGCAAATTGCATATTTTGCATTATACTAACATAGCAACCTAAGAAATATTGTGACTAACACAAACAAACGCATTTGCAAAATAATGTTACTTATCAAGCAGTTCTTATCAATCTAATAAATATTTTTTTTGTATTTCCTGTTCTTGTTGCCCGGGAATATGTACGGGCAAACCCGTACAATTCTATACGTTTAAGTATTTTGCTAACGTCGGCGCTGCGCGCGACTCTTTATGCCTATTATTAAGTGAATTGAACAGTAGCAATAAATTACTCATACAAACAACATCGTTTATCATTTAACATAACAACATTTTCGGGACAGTTTTTCGGAACCTATCATAACGTATCCAGCAACTAAAGGTGTCCCAGACAACCCCTCATCATAATAACATCCAATTTAAGTGAACTCACACTCAAAACAGTTATGCGATATCAAACCGCTCACGAGGTATGGAACGAACTTCATCGTCTGTTTGATGGACAAGCAGAAGATACAGCGTATTCACTCTGCTCAGCATTCTTTTCATACAAGTATAACTGTGAGGATGACATGTCAACGCATCTATCCAAATTGAAAAATCTCTGGGATTTAAATCACGAATGGAGATGTTACCTTCAAACTGCCGGAACTGTTTTTAATTTGCAAGATAGTTGTCTCTCTGGTTGAGCGATTTTTCCCCTTCAAGTCCAGTTGGATACTTGTAAACAAAGCTGAGAAAACAATAGAAAACTTTACGTCACACCTCTGTGCATTTGAAAGCACATTCAAATACAATCAAAATCCACAGAAGAGCGAGAGAAGAGACATTAGTAGTAATAACCAAATTCGATACTTCGAAAAGAAAGGGAAGCTTTTGCAATTATTGTAAGAAGAGCGGTCACCGCATTCATAACTGCAAGAAATGGATATGAGATGGCAAGCCTCCGAAGCCTACCCCGTCTACGTCAGAACAAGTCACCAACATTACTTTAATGGCATGCATGCAACTCGGGAAGTGCCAAGGATGTCGATAATTGGTACGTCGACAATGGGGCCACCAGTCATATAGGCCGAAGATCACCAAGAAGAGGACTCTTCAAGCTTGATCTCAAAGTGATGATGCTGAAATTCGGCACAAGGGAACGAGCATCATGACCGGGAGAGCTCGTACACGCAGATGTATGCGGACACTTCCAGCCAAGTTTCTCAAACCTTCGCTACTTTGTCCTCTTTAAAGATGACTACAGCAGCTACAGGATGGTCTATTTCATGAAGCACAAATCCGAAGTCAAAGACAAACTTATCCAGATGCTTAGTGAAACTAGAACCGTGGGTCATGGTATACAAATCATCCTTAGCGATAACGGTGGAGATTTTGACAATGCGGCTGACAAAAAGATTTTGATAAAGCATGGCATCGTGCTACGGCTTACAATGCCATACACACCGTAACAAAACGGATGCAGAGAGCGAGAAAATAGAACACTAGTAAAAGCAGCTAGGTCAATGCCCCACGCTGGAGAAGAGGTACCACAAGCACTCTGGGCTGAGCTAGTTAAAACAGCGTCCTACGTATTAAATCGCACCGCTCCAACTTTAGGCAAATCTCCACACGAATTGTGGCATGGTAAGAAACCAAAGATCTCACATTCGAGAATAATTGGAAGCGTATGCTATGCACACATACCGAAAGTGACACGTAAAAAAAAGTCCAAAAAGCTGTCAAAGGGCGTCTAATCGGATATGAACAAGATGATGGTTATTGAATCTGGCTAGGTGGAAAAAGAACCATAAAATCCAGAGATATTACATTCCCACCTGAGGTGGAATTTAAAGCAATCATAGACAAACCTGCAGCCACTGACAGAATTTGACTTGCGCTTACCTCCAGACCCACAAAGCACAGAATCGTCCGAGTTGGAGGGAGAGGAATCACGAGAGGTCTTAACCCCGCGGTCTGCAATTGGACACAAGTGCACCAGATGTTCCCCTTCTTGCGGAAAAGGAATTGCTAGATGCTATGGCTCCGCAGTCGCCTCCACTACTAGAGTCGCCATCCCCGCTTCAACAAAACTCAGAGCGCGTTGAAGATGGAGAACAGTTTTATGATGCTGAAGAGAGAACTGAATCTCTCTACAACCTGAGGGACGGATCGCAGCTTCGACCTCCAGTCAAACTCGGCGATTACGTCACGTATGTCGATTGTTTTAACTGCGATTTTCCCGGCACATACAAAGAAGCTTTGAAGCGTGAAGACAGCGGCTCGTGGATGCAGGCTATGGAGAGCGAATTGATTTCCCTCCGTGAAAACAAGGTGTGGACATTAACTGACTTGCCTCCTGGAAGAAAACCATTGCCATGCAAATGGATCTACCGAATAAAGTACAATCCGGATGGCAGCATTGAAAAGTACAAAGCGCGATTAGTCGTTAAAGGCTTCAAACAGAGGCAAGGTGTAGACTACGTAGAAACATTTAGCCCTGTGGCCAGAATGGCAACAATAAGAAGTCAGCTAAGTGTCGCTGCCCAGGGACGACTTGATTTGATTTTGCCACTGCTTTCCTTAATGAAAAACATCAAGAAGAGATTTATGTCACAACCAGATGGTTTCAATGATGGCACTCAAATTATATGGACTTAAGCAAGCACCGAGATGTTGGAACATTTGCTTTGCAGAAATCCTCATTAACGTGGGATTTGTACAGGCAGAAGCAGATCCTTGCCTTTTTACGAGACGGGACGGCTCTGACAAACTACTGATCACTCTGTATGTTGATGACGGACTCGTAGCTGCTACCAGCGAAGCAGTAGCCAATCGTCTTCTCCAGGACCTAGGCAAAAGGCTTAAAATCACCACCAAACCAGCCACTTATTATTTGGGCCTGGAAATAACTAGAAAGGTTGATGGTGCTATTATCATCAATCAACCTGCATACAACAGGAAGGTTTTGGAGAGATTCAACATGCAGAATTGCAATTCCAACTCTACGCCAATAGTAAGAGAAGAAGGAAACTTCACCGAAATTGGATGCTTCCCTTAGAGAGAGGCAATCGGAGCTTTCGCCTACCTCATGGTAAGCACTCGACTCGATATAGCCTATGCCGTTGGAGTAGCGTCCAGGAAGCTCGAAAGTTCCACAACTGAAGATTGGCTACAAGTGAAGCGAATTCTCAGATACCTTAAGGAACTGTAAATCGTGGCATTATCTACAGAGCAGGAACTTCTCAAGTTTTGGAAGCTTTCAGTGATGCAGACCATGGCGGTTGCACCCTAACTGGACGTTCCACAACGGGTGTTCTGTGTAGTTATGCTGGAGGAGCCATCAGCTGAATCGGCCAGAGACAACAGACCGTAGCGATATCGACAACTGAAGCTGAAATAGTTGCAGCAAGTGAAGCAGCTAGAGAACTCGTGTGGTTGAAGAGAGTCTTCTCCCAACTGATAAGTTTTCCAATGCCCACACCAGCTCTCAGGGTCGATAATGAAGGTGCTGTGAAACTAGCTCACAACCCTGAATTCCACAAACGGACAAAACACATCAGGATCCGTCACTTCTTCGTGCGCGAGGTTGTCTTAAGCGAAGAAGTGCATGTAGAAAGAGTTTCCACCCACAAGCAAGCAGCGGATATTCTAACAAAGGCTCTACCCAAGCCTAACACAAAGAATTATGTTCGATGATGGGCTTACAGGGCTAACATTCGGAGGGAGTGTTACAGGCTGGCTAAGAAGTTAGTCCTTTCTGTAAATTGTAAATTCAAAATATGACAGTCTAGTGAAAAATTGTGACAATCTGTGTGGACATTCTAATGTGCAAAAATAAAATAAACAAATCTAATAAATACTTTATAAAAATCAAGTGTGAGGTGCTCAGTGTACCTAGTGACGTTCTTAGTCTGCATATACCATCGAGTTGAACCACGCTCTGCTACTTAAACGTGAGTACTATAACAATCACAGATACCCTGGGTAATATCCACGAGACGACGATTATTTCGGAAGACTTGCTATCGGAATGGCCTGCATCTTTTGAGGTTTGACAACGCGCCTAGCGAGGACACTAGTGTTTAGTTCGCACTGTACTACTTGAGCATTGCCTATAAAATACAAAGTGTTTTACAGATACTTTCAAAGTTATTTCGAAACTCAAATCCTTATTCCAATTTAATCTATAATCAATTATCAGTTTTTAGCATTTTATATCATAATCTATCATATATTGTTTACCAAAAGGTAAAATTTCCTTGAAGTATCTTTCTCATTGATCCATATTTTATAAAATTTCTTGATAATCAAAAGATCCTTGGTGCTATTATGCTTTCCATTAACTGTGAAAAAATGAAAACAGCTAGTTTTCATATTTTCAGACAACTTATTTTGCAAGTGTGTCAGAAACTAATTTGTTTAATCACTAACAAAGTAATTAATGATGTTATTTCTGGCATGGTTCTCTAAACCTAAAATTGTATTTGAAATCAGTGCATTCTTGTCATTCTTCATAGAAAATGAAAAGGAGAAACTGAGGTTAAATTTGTCTTAAGTTTAGACAATCATGCCAGAATGGACGCCAATGTAATATTAAATTTGTTTTTCACTCACCATTTCACATTGCTTTCTAGATTCTCTTTCAATTTTGTTGAATTCACATTGAAGTTTTGATTGACGTTTATCTTTGACCATTTGCTGTCTCCTCTCATCCATGTGTGAAATTCTCTACAAGTGTTGCAAAGTTTTAAATAGTGTTAGTAAAATTAATTAAGTACAAAAATTAATTAATATTCTTAAGATTTAGATAAAGTAAAGACATACTGAATGTTTACTGCACTTTTCTTTAGGCAGTGACTTTAGAAAAGACATTGTATCATTATATTCCTTTTCCACAGTATGTTTCGTCATTGCTATCTTGCTTCTCATATCTTGTAGTTTTTTCAAGTGATCTTTATCTTTAGCATCATCGTGGGAAGTAGTCTCTTTTAAAGCTTTGGTATATGCATCTTCTTCTGTTTGATGGTCCCGCACAACCAGGTCTGGCTCACCTAATGGAACATCTCTGGAATTCCTAGTCGAGTGATTATACATCATGACAGAGTTATTCTTCTGTAGCATAGATTCAGCATCGCTTGATGCTACTGATTTGTCAATATTTCTCTTAGCTGGAATGACAATGATAAAAATAATAATTTTAAAGTCATATTGATCATAAAATTTTATATTCTGATATTATTTACACAAAAGCAAATTCCCTATGTGAATGAAGTAAAAACTACTCAGGCAAAAAGCTATATGAATAGAACTATCATCTGGCCTCTTCAATTTATTCATACTAAGTTGTCTATACTAGTATGGAAGAAAGCAATATTTTATCTCTTTTATATGGTTTTAATGGTATGGATGTATGAAAATTATAGTGCTATTTATCTAAAAGAAAATGTGGCTTCAAAAATATGATGGCATATAGGTGTATGAAGAAGTGCAACTCATAGTACTGCTAGACTATACCTCTGATGTACTAATTTTTATAACTATGCTATTGAAATGAAAGAAAAACTATTTGTAAAAAAATATGACACAATTCTAACAAAATTATTGATGATATTTTGATGGCATCTGACTTAAAATTGGACATGATTACATAATTATGTCACCTGAATCTCTGGATATTCTGTGAGAAATCTTATTTCTTCTAAAGGGACTACAGCTTCTTAAGACAGGGTTAGGTTGAATATCTCTAGTCTTAGGTCTAATAGAACTAAATATATTGTTAATTTCAGAGTTAGTTACTGCAAATTGCTTGTATTTTCTGTAATTATTACTATGGTGTGACATGTGGTGTGAACAGAATTTACAAGTGCTTTCTGCATGCCATGAAGGCACTGGTATAACTTGTTCATCAAGAACTTTACACACATTCTGATATATAGTACTACCTTCATGTTTTGAAGATCTTGTGTTTAAAATTGTTCGCTTGAGGCTCTGAAGATCTTCTCCCACTGTGTCTTTTTTAATAAGATCAGGTTCCCTAAGCCTTAGAGCCCTGCTTTGCAAATACTCTGAGACCATTGTCAGAGAAGGCTTAACATAGGTTCTTTCTTCTGACACATTATCCAGTCCTCCACGTAAGCTTGATGGCATTTCAGAACTAAGAGCAAATAAATCTAACTTCTTTTTCTTTTCTGATCTGCTGCCTGGAATATTATTTGATTCCTTCAAACTCTCTCGGTCATCTTTTGGAAGGGAAAGCAAAGGTATATTGGACTCCCATTCATTAGGCAATTCTTCACAATCCCATTGGGTTGCCATATCATTCTTAAGCAATATGTTGGAAGTGATATTATTTTCATTTCCTTTAGATTCACCTACAGTTGGATCTGAGGTATTTTCAGGAATCTTACTAGTACCAGATTTTGCAATTAGTTTGTTAGCTATATTTGATGACTTCTCTCTACTGATTTCATTAGCAGTTTCCCTAAAATATTCAAAGTAAACAAAGTTACCAAAAAGATTGATTAAATAACTAGCAATAAGTATTTTGACATGAATACCTTGCTAATAGTTTACGATCTAGGAACTTTTTCTGCTGATCTAATTTTTCTTGTTTCTTTTTCTTTAAAGCAGCAGCAGCCTCCTTACCCCGCACTTGCGATAAGTCTTGTTTGTCAGTTGAATGCACTACTTATAAAAAAAAAGTAAATGAAAAACAATTAATATGAATTCTTCTAAACCCCATTTAAATGGTTATCTTACCATCCTGTTTTGTAGCAGAAGCTTTGTGGTGGCTAGCTCCAACACTTATGACTCCATGTGCATAAAGATGTTCTAAGCGCTTAACTAATTTCTCCTGTTGCTTCAAATATTCTTTCTCTTTTTTGCTGTTCACTTCTTCAATATGCTGTAATTTTTCAACGTTCGCACGTTGTCTTAATTTTTTTGCGATGTCTTTTGATTGTTCTCTGACCTAGAATTTTATAAGCAAAATATTTACCAGTCAGCAACGTTTTTAAGTAGGTAAAAAGCGATCTTTTAAATGTTTTTGTAAACCATAACCTGCTGAAGTCTCAGTTTACGTCGTCTTAGAAATTCATTTGTTTTAAAAATCTCGCTTTCAGAAGTCATCTTGACAAACCTCAAACAAACGCTAAAAGTGTCTCAAAAGAGTATCAATACAATCACAGAATTACTCTAATTGTTTCATTTAGAACACTTGTCTTACTTATTTACTAAACTCAGTTTAAATTCATGCTAAATAAAACATAACAACAGTAACATAAGTACACTAACGAACACTACCATTAATTTTCAAATCAAGTTCATTGACATTAGTTCGTAGTGACCAAAGAGTAAAGGTAGTGACCTGTCACGCATCTGTCAAACTGTGTCAAACAAATAGGGTTGCAAGAAGTGATTTCTGATTTCAGTTAGATAAAAATAGGCTAGTTGACCCTTTTTGGAAAAAGGTTTTAAATGGTTAATAAATGTTCTATTGTATTTTTTTTAAACCTAGAAAGCTACAAATCTTTAATTTTAAAATAGACTTTTCATGGACATACAAAAACGCTGTCGGCCATTTTAGTCTATAGATTATCTATGCTATGACGTGAACTGTGGTAAACAAAAACTCGTAAACACGTAGAAAATTACTTTTAACTGAGTTTATAATAAAAAAAAAACATGATTTCTAATAAATACCACGAAAAATAAAGTAATTATCATTACTGTATTGTACGAGAATATAAAAACACATCCTTGAAGACTCCAGGAAAGTTGTGGATTAAAGTGCCGAAAGAAATTAACCTACGCAACTTTATTACACTTATTCATATGTTGTATCAGTTTTATGTTTATTACTACATTGATGTCGATTCTGGCATGATTCTCTAAAGCTAAACTTAAAATTGACAACAGTGCATCCCTGTCATTCTCTACACAGAATGAAAAGGAGAGACTGATGTTAAATTTAGTTTTAAGTTTAGAGAATCACGCCAGAATCGATACCATTGTAATACTAAATGCACTGTACTTACATAGATGCCTTGTCGTTTCTCTGCTCCGCAGAGCAGAAATCGGGGTTTAGTGCAAAAAATTCACCAACCATCAATGCGTCAATTCTTGGCAGATTTGTGGTTTCTGCTTTCACAAAGCCGGCATCCATAATTTGTTTAGTCAAAAAAAACTAAGTTTGCTGTTTTTTTCTTTCCTTTTCCAATTGCGACAAAATGATAGGTACTTTCGAACAAATTGATCCCCTGAAACGTAATTTACCAATGTTTATGGAGTCCATAAAAAGTAGATATGCAACATTCTGTTGTGTATTTCAAGAAAAAACCAATTAAAATACAGCCATTTTCAAGTTGCCGCGAATACGTTTCTCTGGACATTGGTATGTGATGTCGCAGATTGTCATTAAAACGTCAAACGATACCGTATACCTATTCAAAGTTGTCCCCGCGAGGATTGCCACATGCGCTAGCATCACTATATAGTTTGTGATTGCCACCGTAGGCAAATGAGAATAAAATATCTGAAGTGGGGGAGAGAGAAGATTCAAAGATTTTATTCCCATTTTTCTCCCGTGGCAGCCCCAACTGGGGCAAGTGGCAATAAACGAACGATCGTAAAACTTCAGTCACACACAGCGAATACTCGCTTCGAATGCCTACTCGTCCGGGACCATTCTCTGTGTGTGACAGGGGTACTCGCAGCGAATAGCTATTCCAATCCTATTCTCCACCCAAGTGAGCTTCAGTCACACACAGCGAATACTCCCTGCGAGTGCATTCGCTACTACCAGTCGCAGCGACAATTCGCTGCCTGCCTGTCTGTCACACACAGCGAGTCCTGCACGCGAATTTCGACAGCCTGTAGGTGTGAAAATTTTATAATGATGTAGTATTAACGTGCAGTTTAGAGCAGCGTCTGAGCGGAATGGCTATTCTATTCAGTGTTGTCATCTGCTAAACCAAAAAATCAGAAGCACGGAGTATAAAAAACTGTATGCTTAAATTTAAGTAGTTTAATGAATGACTAAGTTAATAAGAAAAAGAAGAAGTAAGTGTCTGTTTCTTGATAAAATGAAATACATTTATTGTGGTTTTTTTATCTGTACTTTTATGAGTAGGACTCCCTCAGAACAAGAACTAATGCCTCCTCTACCCCTACACGTCGACAGATGCATCTGCAGATGCCATTTTCAGATGCGTCCGCCGGCGCCGGGGTGTAGACGGGGTAGTCTGCGCTTCTGTGGTAGGTATTTAACGTCCGTAGATGCGTCTGCCATCAATCCGTTATTTGTGGCACGCAACAAGGGGATTCAGCGCAGACGTCCGGCGCACAGTGATCAATAATGAGATATTAGGTGGATAATATTCAAAACTGACATTGTGAGGGTAGTTAAAACAAATCATCGCGATGTGATTGGGGGTACTTACCTCATATTCTTGTTTAATATAAACGGTTGAAGGTAAGTCATTACTGAGATTATTAGCTAGTAAATGCAGTGCTCTCAGTAATTGTACTGATTTGTTCTATTTACTTCCTGTTTTCGCGCACAGTTATTTGTTTGTTGTGACTTATACAGTGCATTATTGCATATTAATAAATATGGTGCACATTATAGAAGGTATGTACTTCATTTTTTATAACACTTTGTAACTGTCAATGGTTATAGTAGTTTAGAAAAAATATTCAAAAATTAGCTAAAGATTTAGTTTATTTTATTTTATTTTATTTCAAAGCCTGTATCTTACAAGGAACACATTAGAATATGGAATTTTTTATACTGGTACATAACTGGAAGCCTGTATTATGGTATTCAATAAAAATGTTTACCCCAAACTACCCTTGCCTGAACAAACTTTTCATTTTTGCAGGAAACGGTAGTACAGTTAGAAATTCAGATTTATTTAATAACCTTAAAAAAACACCCTCCAATTTGAAAAAAAAAATATGAGAATTGGTATTGGTATATATGTAGTTTAACAAAATCGAAAGTAGTGAAATTTTACTTGCCAAGTGTTGCGTGTAGTGTTTGTTTTATTTTACCGTATAGGTTTGTTTGCTTTTTTTGTTTCTTGCCGTCACGTAGGAGTGGTGGCATTAGTACAAATAGATTGTCTCACAGATTTCCTATTAAATGATTTAACTTCATTCTCAAAACATTCGTTCGAAAATAAAACGTGGCCATGGCCTACGGCTCTTTCTACCCCGTAAATCCCTTACTGACGTGATACTATGTATGTACGTAGAATAGAAATAAATTAGCGGTATTTCTGCTGGTTTTTATTTGTGATGATGATGCTGACAAGTTTCCCTTATTTTCGTTCTTTGTTTTTCTATATATTTATTTATAATCTGTGTATGAGTGACGTGTGCTTTATACGGTTTTTTGAACGCCACTTTTATCATAATCAACATGGACTGTTCATATAATACCAGTGATGTCATGTATGGTGAAGGTGGTAATACTAACAACTATATAGCAAGCATGTACAGAACATGCTTGCTATATAGTTGTTAGTATTACCACCTTCACCATACATGACATGCATGCATGAAAAAACTGCATACAACGCAACGCAAGCACCATACCTAACATTTCGTTGTAGTTTTGGGAAAGGTGTACTAACATACTATTATAAGGTAAGTAATTTATTGCATGTATTTTTATAAGTCAAGATATGACATTTTGCTTATTCACGCGTTAGTCGTTTTTTTTGATCTGGCTTTACCTTTCTTTTTTTTCACCCCACGCCACTGGTACTTTGCGATGCGCACATACTTTGCGGCAGCGTTTAAAGGACACTAGCTGTTGTTTGTTGTTCGAAACGTCAAAACGTGTAGCCTGATTCAGGAACTAAAATAAAACCAGCAGTTTAATTTATCAACAAAAAGACTTCTTCAGAAGTCTACAAAACAAAATCCCAGTCGTCAATTAAACCAACATACTAACACAAGTGCGCACAGTACGAAGCCAAAATAACGTTTAAGATAGATAGATCACCAACGCGTACGCCACTGCTACTACCTGCCCCCCCCCCCCCCCCCCCCACCCGCGCACGTAGTTTCGAATGACTTGTCGCTAAGAGCGGATGAACACACAAACAGACAGGTTTTTTTTATTTTATTTCATTTTATTTTAATTTAATTAGATAGCATGGAATATAATTATATAACGTTTTTATTGAATTATGAAAATAAAAAAAGTCAGATTAGCTCTAACTAGTTGTAATAGTACTTACCATTTGATAAATACATGTATCTCCACATTACCTCGATGCTACATACGCTAAATATGAAAAAACCCGAATATTTTCCCATTTGGGAATTTTCCCTGGGATTTTTCCCTATTTTTTCCCACATTGGGGTTTTTTCCGGGTAAAATCCCATCTCTAGGCATGACTTACCTTCAACCGTTCATATTAAACAAGAATATGAGGTAAGTACCCCCAATCACATCGCGATGATTTGTTTTAACTGCCCTCACAATGTCAAATTTGAATATTATTCACCTAATGATGTCGATTCTGGCATGATTCTCTAAAGCTAAACTTAAATTTGACAACAGTGCATCCTTGTCATTCTCTATACATAATGAAAAGAAGAGACTGATGTTAAATTTAGTTTTAAGTTTGGAGAATCACGCTAGAATCGACACCAATATCTCATTATTGATCACTGTGCGGCGTAAAGAATGCCGAGTCTGGTTGTATCGAATACTGACTCGAATACCTACCAGGTAGTCACGTACTCGAGTACTCGAAATATTGTATTCGGATCCACAGTACTCGAGTACAGGTTTCGAGTACTCAGTCGTTGTACTCGTACAGTGAAGTCAGTAACGTGAAGTGTTGATGAGTCGATGCAGTTTTGAACGTGTTTATGTTTCCTACTCGGCCGATCAGATACCTATATGAGATGTTGACAAAAGTTTAATTACATATTTGTTTCTTATAAGTTATTACCTATCTTAATTAGTAGAACTCAGTTACCAGTTTAACTGTAGAATTTGTGTAAAGTTTTACTGTTTTTTAACTAGTGACATTATGATAGGATGACTCCGAAGAAAAAATCCGAAGTATGGTATTTTTATATATTTAACAAACCCACTCCACTCCACTTTTTTATTTGTTAAAATATTAAATTTTAACAAATAAAAAAGTGGAGTGCAGAGAGTATAAAAAAAAACATTTGTTAATTTTGTATTAAAACATTTAAAAAAAATACATCCCTTGATTTATACAGCGATAATAGAAAAAAAAACGAGCGAGTCTTAGAGTAGTCGCGTATGATGTGTAATATTTGAAATTTCACCTTATATTAGTAAAAAAAGAAATAAAACCTACTACAAAAGGAATAAGCCATTTGAACATTATATTCTAAAATCAAATCAAATAGCGCGCGCTTTCGCTACTTCCTGTTACACACTTCCGTCCCATTTCACGAAATCACTCCCACAAATTGCATGAAAGTGAGAGGAAAGATGTTACACATCAAAAAGTAAGTAAAATGAAAACGTAAGCTTGGATGAGAATTCTGATTTGGACTTGGAATCATTAATAAGGAACAAAAATGCATACAGCAATCAAAGAACATAATACGTAAACTCACAGAAAGATTAAATAATTATATAAATGAGGAGACACCGCGATACATGCCCATTTCCCGCTACGCATGAAGAAGATATTGTTTTATTCGATGTTTAAAGGTGTAGTTCGAATTGATCTGCCTCTATCATCAATATTATCATCTAAAACCCATGCTTGTCCACGACAGGACATAGGTCTCCCCTCATGCACGCTTGTTGTGGTTGTTCCCGATTTTCTGCCACTCTCATCCAGCCCACTCCAGCTAGCCTACGAATGTCATCATCCCATCTTGTCTCAGGGCGTCCTTCACTAGTACACTGCCTCAATGGTGGTGGGATATTGTTCTATATATTGGAGGTAAAGCACCCCCCAAAAGATGCAGATCTATGCGCGGGCGTAGCCATTTGATGTGAGCATAGTCGCCTTTCACTATTTCTCTGAGCTCTAATCCAGCCAAGCTTCTCGTATAGGTACGGAGGTTTCTGTGACTTAATCACTCCAAAAAACAGGCAAGCAAAGTGTTGTTTTCGCCTCGACTTCATCTTCAAGATAAGGTGGTTATTAAGGAATGGAGCTGTGTCCTCTAGCCGATACAGAGAAGCAAAACCAAACACATGCATTCTGAACTCGCTAAATGAGCCGCTCAGTTCTGCCCAGCAATCGTGGGTCATACACAGCATCAGCGTAATTGAGTTTTTATAGAACCAGCGCCTCGGTCAGCTGAACTCCTCAGACAGATAAGGTCTTATTTTATATAAAACCTTAAGGCTATAAAAGCATTTTTTTACTGATTCCGCTATATGATCCTCAAATCTTAAGCTTTCGTCGAAACTCAGCCCCAGATTACATGCTAACCTTACTCGCTCTATTTTATTCCCCTTCAGGAAAATGCTCAAATCCTCTGGCAGTTTGCTGAGTTGCTTTTTTGTGCCAAAAGCATATACTAACTTTTTAAAGGATTTAATTTAGCATCAAACAATTTTTATCAGATCAGTCAACAATTCTGTGAAGATCGTCATCAAGGTCTTTAAGAGCATACATGTAAACACTTGGTCTGAATGATATGTGTATTTGTAGGTCATCAGCATAAATGTAGTATTTAAATTTTTGTATACACACCAATGTCCGCGCAATAAAGATTAAATAGGATGGGACCCAGAATGATGCCCTGGGGTACACCCCGGTCAAGTAGAAACACTTTTGGATCCATCGGCTAAACGTATCTGTACTGATTAGCTCCGATTGATTAAGTAGCTATGAAACCATAATAGTGTGCCACGATCGCAACCATAGGCGGACATTTTGGATAAGAGTAAATACATATTTATAGCATCAAAGGCGCGGGAGTAATCAAGCAGAACCAATAGTATGCACATTCCTGCATCCTGGGTAGCCAATATGTTGTCCGTTACTTCAATTAATGCCGTGGCTGTACTGCATTTCCTTCTAAAACCCGACTGCAATGGGGGAAGAATTTTATTGGTTTTTAAAAACTCAGTGAGTTGGGACACAAACAACTATTTTCAAGATCTTGAAGAGAGAGTAAGGAGTTAAAAAATCTGAGTAACTCACCTGTTACAATCTTTCACCATCATACCACTTACCAATAACTTACTTATAGTGATCATACCACAATTAATCATCCATTGTAGTATCAATATGACAAAAATGTATATATTTTCAATTATTAAAATTCTAAGTGGTCCATGATCCACACTGAGCTTCAAACATGCATCCAACATAACGACTACTTTTTTCATTTCCAAACATGTATTTCCAACTAGTGGCCGCCCGCGCCTTCGCCCGCGTTAACTTTAGTTTTTTTTAAATCACATAACCTAAAACTTTTCCGAGATAATAAAGTATCTTAGGATGTCTCTTTAAAGATTATATGTTCGTTATGTAAAATTTCATCCAAATCCATTCAGCTATTTTTACGAGATTGAATGACAAACAACTACACAACAAACATACAAACTTAAACATTTATATTTAAATATAATATTAGTAGGATTAATGAGAATTTAAGAATATGATACTTATCGTATCACATAGTTAGTGTTCGTGTTATAGGTACTAATGGTGGCCACACATTAATCACCATTATGTTTTTTTTTTAACATTTTTGACAGATATTTTTGTCGCCATTTCGGCGTTCAGAATTTAAATAACATTAATACCCAAAGAGACTTCCATAAAAGTCAGCCACACACTTACACCCATATTCTTAGTCGTTTCCTCGAGATTTTTCCAGTCGACTCAACCCAACTCAACCTCATTCGAGGTTTCATATGCTTAGAGAACAAAAATATCCTTCACTTGAGATATTCCTCACTCGAGTGGAGGTCGAGTCGAGGAATAAACTGTCAAACTCAAGATAGCTCTCGACGTACCTTAAGGCTTCCTCGAATGGTGTTTAGGGTGTTTTCAAGTTGTTTTTATCGAGAATTATGTCTGATTTTAAGATTATTGACGAATTGGAATCCATAGGGAAGGCCTGTGCCCCAGCAGTGGGGACATTAATAGGCTGATGATGATGATGACGAATTGGTGGATTTTATGGATTACGTATACGATGATGAACCATATAATCCGGCGCGACGGTATTTACGTGACGCCGCAAATCCTTTTGAGGTATACGACAATGATTCGTTAAAAAGAAGATTTCGGTTTAGAGAGATACATTCATACAAGTAATATTTCCTCTGCTAAACATTACACTAAATTGTAATAACAGAGGACTACCTGTACCGCCTTTAATACAATTACTGTTTGGGCTTTGAAGTTTTACGTGACAGGATTATTTCAAGTAGGTATTTACCTATGTTTGTTGTGTGATATTTTACTTTACACATTAATATGTCTATGCTTTTATGCTTTTTTGTTTGTACTCTCAGTGGAGGAATTCTCAAGTTTGTTCAAGATCCCTACTAGAATATCATTTTCGAGGTTATTTGGAGGAACTCCTTAAGGAGCCCTCGAATGAGTTAGAGTCGAGGAACGTTTGAGGACGCAACTAAGAATATGGGTATTAGATTAAAACAAAAAGGTTAGATACGGCACTAGCCTAACAAAAATGATCCGCATAAATTGTGGTCCACGACCCTAATCGCTTTAGTCACAACTTGACATGCAAACGACATACATGTGAACGCCAAAAAGAAATATTGCTAATATTTTGTGTTTATATGATAGAACAATGCCTAAGTGTGTTTTTTAAAATTGCTCAAGAACAAAAAATAAAACCCACGGCATCACTTTTCATTCGTTAGTACTATAAAATATATTTTTTCATAAAAATTGCTATTTGTTTTGAATCTTAGTCGGTAGTGACGTCGAGTACTGGTCGCGTGATTGGTCGGTAGTGCAGTGACGCGGATCTCGCCGTCTCGTTCGCGCTGCCGTGCCGTTGAAACTTAACGTGCTGTTTCGTTCATGCAGTGACGCAGATCTCGCCGTCCCGTTCGCGCTGCCGTAGCATCAGTTTTTGTTTGATGCAAGTATGAGCGTACCGTATCTACCCTTTTTGTTTTAATCTAAGGCCACACAGCGCCATTAGGCTTTAAAAACTTACTTTAAATTGTGAATGTATAACATAAATTATTATAACTTTATAGTATATTATTATAGTATATTTAACTAGCTCATTTTGGTATTTTACTGGCATAAATGATTTTGTAACTTGGTTTTGTTACTTGCTTAATTATTCAAAATAAAATAAAATAACTTTAACATTCATGGTAATTAATTTTAAATACAGAATTTTATTACAAAATTAAATGCATTACAATAATTCAGTAACAAGATCTGTAACGGCACCGGTGCTATCATCTTTCCCCAAGTCTATATCGAGTAAGGAATATCCAGCTAACATCAACTTCAGTAATTGTTCGTGTAGCAGACGTAGTTCTATCAAAGACGAAGTATCATTTTTTGGCGGTTTAGTACCACTGCCGCCGCTGGTGCCACCGCCGCTCCCAGTGACATCACTGCCTTTTGTACCGCCACTGCCTCCAGTGCCACCACTGCCTCCAGCGCCACCACTGCCTCCAGTGCCGCCACTGCTTCCGGTACCGGCACTGCTTCCAGTGCCACCGCTGCTTCCGGTGCCGCCACTGTTTCCGGTGCCACCATTGCCACCGGTGCCGCCACTGCCTCCGGAACCACCACTACCACCGGTACCACCACTGCTTCCAGTGCCACCACTGCCACCAATGCTTCCGGAGCCGCCACTGCCTCCAGTGCCACCACTGCCTCCAGAGCCGCCATTACCTCCAGTACCGCCACTGCCTCCAGAGCCGCCATTACCTCCAGTACCGCCACTGCCTCCGGTGCCACCACTTGCTTCGTGACCACCCATTCCTCCAGAACCGCCTGTACCACCGCAATGGCCACGATTTGCGTTTACAGATGTATAAACCAAAGCGTTTATCAGTTTTATTATAATCTCGCCTGCGTTAATATTATCGTTGCTTTTATCAAGCGCTTTGGTGAGCAGTAATAAAGCGTTAGGGTCCTCATAACAACAAGGAGACCCTGGGTAATACGGATACCTGCCGATGCATTGCGCCTGACATACCTGCAAAAAAGCAGGAAATCAAACATACGTGGTTAAATTATAATAAGGATGGAAGTCAATACGACTGCACAATATGCAGTCGTATTGACTTCCACTTGTTACTCAGTGGAAAGGGCTAGATCAATATAAAAGTGAGAGTTAAACTAACAAAGTACAATTTTATGTGTAGGTATGTTCCTTGCAAACAATACTCACACCTATAAGACTTGCTACGAAAGCAAAACAAATGAGTCGACAAGGCGACATGGTTTTACTTTAACCATTCATAAATTTTCACAGTCCTTTTATATACAATACCTAGATACATATGAATACGTATTGCATCAGCTACAGTAGATACAGACCAACCTTTATTTCGACATAGGTTGAGATAGTCTTTGTTTGGTACTAAAATTAAATGCAATGACTAGGTGCTAGGTAGGTACTTGAAAATATAACCGATTTACTAGATAACTACCGACATACAAAAGGGTGACAAAGAAGATCTTACCGAAATCACTATGATATTTAATGTTAATTTTCAACTAGGTACTTGTAACGTAAATAATGATATGGTTACCCACCCAAACTCAGTGGAGGTAAAAACGACGAGTACTTACACTACCCGCTCACTGTAAGTTTTCAAGGGTAACTAGATTTTATTGAATAATTATATCAAACTCATGTGACAGTTACAGTCAACTGTGCCTTAGATCTTTCTGGGTTACTACCTAAAATGGATACCGGTCCAAAGCAAAGTAGACAACTGAACCCACGCTATAAAGCAAACATATTTTCTATTCTTACATTTGGGTAGGTACTTTAGCTTTAGAGGAATACCCTATTCATTTGACTAGAGCTTCAGATTACAGAACAAAATCTGTAATCTGAGACTACAGCTATCTAGATGTTACAGATGGACTTTAGAGACTTTTAAACTTGGTTATACGCGTGATATCAAGGACAGTGATCTGTATGCACCGTTACCGGAACACCGTTCTGATGTCTTAGGTAAGAATAAGTAGGTAGTTTTTAAATAACATATAATATGTTTGTATTTACATGATTTAATATTTATAAATCACGTAACTACACTGCAGATAGGTACGCTTCCTGAATTAGGTACATATAGGATAATGACAATCGGAGCATACTGTCTTCCTTATCCCATTTCTATAGTTTGACACCATCGTCGTGGTACCTTCTAACGCTAAATATAAAAGGACAATAAATTTTCCGTGGAGAGGAATGCTAATCTGAGTACGTAACCAAAATAATTAATTTGTGATAGGTGATGCGGTACAAAAAGCTTGGGATCAAGAAGTAGAAAAATGGCGTGAGCGAGGGAGTCATGCTAAACCCAGCCTTTGGCGGGTTTTGTCTAAAGTTTTTGGACAAGAGCTGATGCTGTATGGTCTTATACTGGCCGCGATGGAATTCATTATTAGGTTTTATACTTACGTAACTTTATAACAATCACACGACTTAATAATATTACATAAAGTTAAGCATCCCAGTATTGAAGTAGAATTATTTTTGGGGTATAGTAAAAAGTTTAACTAATGGCATAATCAAAATGAGGTTTATCAGAAAGTAGAATATTTTTTTTCCAAATAATATTAAAATAAAACAACATTATATTTTTATTTGATACTAGTGGCCCGCCCTCGCTTCGCTTCGGTGTAGAGCTGTAGTGTAAACTATAGTTTTTGTTCTCAGGCTTGTGCTATAAAGAATGACTTTATTTATAGAATTACACGTGTTATTGTGAGTCAACCATAAAAGATAGACATATGCTGTTGCGGGATATTTTTTAGACAATTTTATGTAGAATATTTCCGTCATACATGATTTCTTTGTAACTTTAACCATTAAGGCTGCACACACGACGGAAGCTTAAAAAATGGAGTAACTTCTTCCGTTTTCCCAACACTTCCCTTCACTACTCTGCTCCTATTGATTGTAGCGTGATGAAAAGTATACTATAACCTGCCCAAGGGTATGAAGAATAATTGTACCAAGTTTCGTTAAAATCCGTTGAGTAGTTTTTGTTTCTATAAGGAACATACACACAGACAGACAGACAAAAATTTTACTGATTGCATTTTTGGCATCAGTATCGATCACTAATCACCCCCTGATAGTTATTTTAAAAATATATTTCATGTACAGAATTTTCTCTACAGATTTATTATAAGTATAGATTATTGACGGCAATAAAAATAAAGTTACATTTATAACCTATTTTTTTGCAACAGGTTACAACAACCACTATTTTTGGGACTGTTGTTAAGGTACTTCAGTCCCATACACGAATTACACAATAGCACGTAAGTAATAGAGAGCAAATTAGAAATTTATACGTTATACCTAGTTATAACTAAGCAAATCAGTGTAATATTAATGAAACAAACGACGTTCTAATAGTTTTTAAAGCAACAGTTCTATACTTAAGATCGAATGTTATTTGATCTAGCTGAAAACATAAGTAATAAATAGGTGACTGAGGAAAAGATACAGATAGGTATGATTGTACGTTGGTAGAGTTCTATGAGAACGTTTTTTGTACAAATGAACATTATTTTAAAGGCTCAAATCGCCGAACATGCAAGTATAAAGAATGTAAGTGCTTAGTAGATGAAGCCAAAGAAGTAGATAATTATCACCTATAAGGGTCGTAGCAAGTGGAAGGCGGTGATCTCTGCCTAGGTAGTAGGTACCTTTAGCAAAAAGTCGTAATTGTAGTATGTAACACCTATCAACCAGTCTGTAACTATAAAACAACCACATTCTAGAGCAAATGCGACTTACATCGGCCGGCTGTGGAGCTACTACAACCCTAGCGGCGGCGTATCGTGGGGTGAAGCAGTTTTCTTCTCGTTCGGGGTAGTGTTCTGCAGCGCTGTCAACGTTATGGTTCAGCACCCTTTCATGATGGGCGTCATGCATATAGGCATGAAAATGCGAGTCGGAACGTGTAGTCTCATTTATAGAAAGGTATTGCTGCAATAGTAAATATCTATCAAAAACATATTTACTCATAGGTTGACTTCTCAGCAAAGTAGCGCTTGCCTTAATACCGTTTTTTCGATGATACATCGTGCATGTCTACTTGATTTGGAAATCTTTCAATGTGGTCGTATCAAACTAAGAAATCAATTTCGTGGAAGCCTTCTATCTACAACTTTGATCGAAGACCGTGAATGATGAAAACAGCGATTATGTATGCCGTATGATGGAACAGACGGACATGTGAGCTAAGATGAGCTTCGGGTGTCCTTCTTTAAGACAGACACATAATTAAGTTATACCATTTTTTGAGGGGTGATAAACTATGTTTCGATGGTTGACTGAAATTTTAAAAAAAGGACCACTTCACTTGGTGTATTCGATGTAGGAGAGGTTAATTTTGATGTGTATATAATTATGATAATTAAATTTTTAAAGCAAATGGAACGTACTGCAACGTCATATTTTTTTTTTTTTTCATAATTTTTTTATTCGATTATTTACAATATGTCTTTTTAATTATGTTATTTTTAATCAAATTTCAACATGTTTAATAATATACTGTCCGTGCTCGAGGCTGCTATTTGATACAGCCAGGGGCACGGGCAGAAGTCTGAAAGAGGAAGCATAGAAGGATAGTAAAGATAAAAGTAGGTATACAAGAAAATAGGGAGGTCAAAAACAAAGTAAAGAAAAGTTGAATCACATTAGTGGCGTTAAAGACTACTCGTTTGCTTCAAGTTGGCCGTCGATGGCCAATCACAGGCACATCAACTGGTACCATCGTCCCGTTGAAACTGAATGTTGGGTATTTTATAGATTTTATTCTGATGTACATCTTTCAGGCCCTAAAAGTTAACTTACAAGCTATGTCGGAGAGCAGTGCAGGATTAGTAATGAATTTAATGGCAAACGATGTCAACAGATTTGATACAGGGCCACTTTTTGCTCATTATTTATGGATTGGACCTTTAGAAACAATGGTGAGATTTAAAGCATATTATACCATGACTACCTTTTTACATTTAAATATACATTTATTTTAAAAAACTGAACTATTTATAGATAATGACAGCGTATTTATTTCGCGAAATGGGAACACCGGCTGTGTACGGAGCTCTGATTATCATCGCTGTAGTTCCTTTCCAAAGTAAGATATATTCAAAATAAAATAATAAGTCATATCCTACTAGATTTCACTAGAATTATATTTTTGTTTGAGGTACTTATATTTTTGTGACTTTTGGAAATCGATTTGGACAAATTCAATTCTTAGTCACTATTCAGTACCTACAGTATTCTGGTTGCATTTTATCAAGCTATCGCAAGGGCAAAGAAACGATAAATCGTAAAATATCGTAATTATCAACTACATAAGACCTTACTACATATTTAAATCTTTTTGGTGGCGATTTTCGTCCTATTATTAATCTCGTGTTTCAATTGACTAATGATTAGTTCTATGAGAATTACTAATAAGTGCAATGAATAGATATGTCACCACGTGAATACATAAAAAAAATATTTGTTTAGTATTTTTGGGTACACGGACTGCATATTATAGAATGCGCACGGCTCTGAGGTCTGACGAACGAGTGAGACTCATGAAGGAAATCGTAATGGGAATAGAAGTAATCAAGATGTACACTTGGGAGCAACCATTCAGGAAGATTATCGATAAAGTCAGGAGGTTATGAATTTATGAAAATATTTTAATAGCGAGGATCGGCTTTGTAACAAATAACTCAATTTAGAAATATCTCTTTTTTCTTTAATAAAGATATCATGCTTTTAAGGATATTGACTGTGAATTATGGCTGTCAATATTCGGTAGATATCAAAGCTTATTGTGAAACTATATAATTCGGTTTCCCTTTCAAAGCTGAAATGGATTAATGTAAATGGTCCATATTCGGTGTCAAAGCTTATTGTGAAACTTTATATCTTTCGGTTTCCCTTTCAAAACTGAAATTAATGAAAGTGAATTACATATCGCAAATCCTACAATGAGATTAAAGTAAAGGCAGATAGTGAAAAATGTCACACTTCGGTCCCAGAATACTGACGACAGCAACGGTCATAATAGGTGATAGATAATAAATGATTTTAGGAGTGAAATATACAACATCAAGATGACTTCGTACATTCGCGGCGTCATCATGTCCTTCGTGATGTTCACGTCCCGTTTCGGGATTTTTATAACTGTTCTATTCTACGTGACGTACGTGAGTCGTATATCAGTGGAGAATGTCTTCTTCCTCACATGCTATTACAACATCATGAAGCAAACGATGACGCTCTACTTCCCGCAGGCTGTTGGACAGGTAATAAAACAAAGTTACCCACATTAATAAATGTACTCATAAAGTGATCCAATTGCGTCAATAGTATCAAATCTAGAAAGCGATGTTTATATGTATGAGGAGCTCGATGGCGCTAGCGCGTTCGGCTGCGATCGTTATAGTTAAGCAACTTTCGCAATGGTCGGTCATTGGATGGGTAACCAAAACCCTTTATCTCGAGTTCCTCCGTGATTCGAAAGGCACGTTAAGCCGTTGGTCCCGGCTGCATCTGCAGTCGTTAGATGATGATAAACAAAGTATCGAGGAAGACAGATTACGATGTTAGATACCTACCTATTCATTACAAATACATCGACAACATCAAACCGATCAAATTTAAATTGTTTTAATCTAAGCGATCAAAGCCTAATAAAGATGCCGGCGATGAGTTATTTATTACACCACACCATTGTGACAGGCGCTGTAGTGTAAGTTTCGCCACCTCTGAGATGTTCAGATGGATCACTAGCTCATTAGCTGCAGGAAAAAGCCGATTTACTGCCAAAACTCTTTGCGGCAACTCCCGATTGCAATGCACTGCACTGCACTATGATGCCTGATATTAAAACCAGGCAGCATGATGTTCGTGTGGAGTTGCAATCACTTGAAATCCGGAAAGCTAGTGGATCTGATGGCATCCCAGCATTTGTACTGTACTGAAACATTCTGCAACGGAGTTGTCTCCCGTGCTTACACGCCTGTACCAACTCTCATACTCTTTGGGACTTGTGCCGGAGACTTCAAAGACGCCAATGTGCAACCGATGACCAAAAAAGGGGACCACGCAGACCCGGACAACTATCGGCCGATAGCCGTATTGTGCAAATTCTTAGAAAGGGTCCTTAATAACCATCGGAAACGCTAGCTAGAATACCCTAGGCCGAATCGATCGACGGGTGACCTTCTAGCGTACGTGACACACGTCTGAGGTAAGGCATTTGATAAGCGGGATGAGTCTTTGGTTATCAGCCCTGACATATGCAAAATAGGATCTGGCACAAAAGTCTTTTCTCCAGGCTTCCTGTTTCTGCATACGGTCTGCCTGCTCAGGGGGCCATTCGACTAACGGAAATGCTTAGGAAAACGCTAACGCTTACGATTGTATTTTGTTATTTCAACCCGCCTGAGGTTTTCAAATGCCTCGCGCTCTTTTTTTCTTTTGCATTCGTAATATCAATATGAAAAAAAATGAGCGTGAGGTATTTGAAAACCTTCGGCGGTCAGAAATAACAAAATATAATCGAAAACGTTAGCGTTTTCCAAAGTATTTCCGTTAGGCGAATGGCCCCCAGTTCTGTGCCTAAATGTCATTGAATTCCGGTGTTCCTCAGGGCTTTGTCATATTCCCCACCCTGTTTGTGCTGCATATCAATGATTTAATTTCCCTTGGGTATATTCATAACTATGCAGACGCTATCGTCTGCATACAGTGCATGCGGAATATTTCTGGCACTCAGTGGCTGGACAGGTAGAAAACAAGGAGAAACGTGAGAATCTTATCATTGAACCCAATTAGGATTTGTACTTAAGTTCCGAATGGTGTACAAGGCACTTGGTTGAGTTCAATGCTTAGAAAACCCAGGTTTGCGCTGTCATGGCAAAAACGTCGCTCTTTATTCTAAATTTATTCTTCATTTATTAATAAGGGTGATAAAGAATAACAAAATTTACATCTTAGAAGGTACTTAGATATAATATAAAGTAAAAATATATTGAATGGCCAAACATTTTATTTTTCGTGGGTACTTATTTTGATTAATGTGGTCAAATACAAGAAAGCATTAAAAAAAACTAAACCGAATTGTGTTTCTATCTAGATAGCAGAGCTAATTGTAGCAGTTCAAAGGATACGCGACTACCTGCTATCTGAAGAATGCAGATTGCCTCCGAGGATCCTTTTGGAACCTAAAAGAATTAATTCTAGACCTAAGAAAAGAGTTATTATTTTAGGTATATACGTAAATAATTTTCGACTATCGTTCAAACCATTTAAATACTACCAATAAAAATATGTGATGACCAAATAAACTGATTCTAGAGAACCCGCTGCAGCTTCCTGTGAGACGTGATGTACCAACTACATCGAAGGAAAATGATGATAAGAAAAAAGGTGATATTGATTTGGATCTTGATTTTTTTTTTTCTATGTAATTATATATGTAAATACTGACGTAATTTAAATATTTTAGATGCTCCTAAGAAAGATATATCTATAAAATTCGACAAAGCTTGCAGCCGCTGGATAAAATCGTTGGGCAAAAATGACGCCGAAAATATCAATTTAGAGGTGTACAATAAATTGTTTTTATGCTTCCTAAATAAATTTTCTAATCTATATTATACCTGTACTAATTTCACTATTTTCTCTGGCTTATTACTAAAATTAAAGATTAATTCGAGTAAAATTAGTAGCTACATAGTCAGCGTTTTTGATACTGAAAAAATATATTTCCTGTATAATTTCTTCTTTTTCTTCCTTTGTTGAATATAAGATTCAGTCTGGAAGTTTGACAACAGTAATTGGTGCAGTTGGAGCAGGAAAGTCGACTTTGTTGCACATGGTATTGGGTGAACTGCCTTGTACAAGTGGCAGTATCGAAACTCGCGGCAGCGTCAGCTATGCTGGTCAAGATCCCTGGCTCTTTGTCGGTAGGTTGACATAGGACATAATTTGTAAACTTTTATCTTTTGGTAATTCCTTTAAGAATTAGAACACCCATCATATAACTTGGTTTCAGGCTCTGTTCGGCAAAATATCCTCTTTGGTCTGCCATTTAAAAGATCACGTTACATGGAAGTTTGCAAAGTATGCGCCTTAGAAAGAGACATCTCGCTTTTCCCCCATGGTGACAAAACGGTGGTGGGTGAGAGGGGAGTCTCGCTGAGCGGTGGCCAAAGAGCCCGAGTTAACTTGGCACGAGCTGTTTATAAAGAAGTAAATGTTAATAATGACGAGTTAACCCTTATAAACTCTCAAACATTTAAGCAGTATCGTTTCAATATGCACCTATGTGTTTTAGCGCCAAAAACATGTAATAGGTAGTAATAGAAAGGTTACTTTCGATTAATAAAATCACTTGCTTGTAGGCCGACATATATTTATTAGACGATCCTTTATCAGCTGTCGATACTCAAGTTGCGAAACATATATTTGAAAATTGTATCAAAAGGTAATATAGGTTCTATACACAATAATGTATATTAAAGTTATTGCTCGCAATTGCATTTTAACTATCTATAAAAATGCAATTGGGAGCTTGCACCTATAACCTATATCCACAGTTTCGCACCATAGTATTACCGGGTAATATTATAAGCGAAAGGAATCTTGTAAAGCATTTACGCCAAAACAGCTGGATCGACTGATGAATTTTGGTGTGGGATATAGGATAAGCTGCTTTTTGTTGCGCAAAATAATACTGGAATATCGGAAACCAATTTATTTTGAAATCAACTCTTTTATAATCGTAATGCAAACGTATATATAGGTGATCGTGACTTTCATTATACTTTCAAAAAAAAAACTATTTTTTATATGTTTGATGCAATTTCAAATATTAGATATTTGGCTGACAAAACAGTGGTACTTGTAACTCATCAACTGCAATTCATAAAATCTGTTGATCAAATTGTCGTGATGGATAAAGGCAGAATTATCGCTGAAGGAGGCTTCAAAGAATTGAACGTAAGTAAAAACCTTTCTTTCTTGCATAAATACTCATACTACAACTCAAAAAAGTTAGTCAACATGAGTTACAGAAGAAAACGACATACGAAATTTGCCTAAATATGGTTTTTGTCTAGGTTTTTTGTAGTACGTACAACAACCCTCACCCCATTATAAATAAATGAGGAATAAGCTTAGTGTTTTTTCATACCACTCAAAAGCCATTTGTCATTCAATGAACAAACAAACATATGGACAGGTTGATGCCTCCATAAAGTAGTCCCGGTAGGTACACAAAGCCACGCACGCGACCTTCCGTCTGCATCTCCGCCTTTTGAATCTGAATTCAAATAAAACATGGAGTAAATAATCCAAGCTTATTTGTCGTTTATTAATAAGGGGGCTTTTGTTAAAATGTAAACTTAAAGCCATAACGTAACATAATCTACATACGAAAATAAACACATAATTGTCCACTTATAAAAAACAACAAATAAAACGTCCTAATCTAGAAACACACCCCTGATTGGGCCCTGGAACTATAAAAATATATTATGTGACGTTCTACCGTCGTATTTTGTTATCGATTAGATAGTAAGCGTCGTATTTTTTGATCTAATTAGAATGGTCTGATCGTTATTTGTAGCAGAAAAAATTGAAGATCTTCCAGCTGATGGCCAGTAATTTGCGCGAGATTCATGAAGACGAGGCGCCTCACAGCCTTCATAGTGTGTCCGTAGCACAGCTCAGTGCCATGAGTATGCAGAGGCGACATCTATCTTTGGTGTTCAAAACGAGTTATTTGGTAAGGCATTGTCATCTTTGCAATGTCCACGCAGCCTAGTAGGACGTAGGTAGGGCTTGCCTATCGAAAGAATTTCAATGAGTTGTTATTTGTTCACTATACTCTATTCACGTAAAAAGAGCTAGTACCAACAATCGTTAAGCTATTATGTCATTGGCTGGTATTGTTGTCGTTTCTCGTGTCAGTAACCAGTCTGGTCTTTTGTCGTGTGACACTTTTGTAAGCTTTTTTTGTAGCAAAGAAACCGCTCCACTCACTAACAGAGTATAAACATTATGAGTAAGTCCACTCTTCAATTTTCAGCGAGAACTGAGTTGGATTTTTTACATAATAATATTAGCAAAAGTCCACTGTTTTACGAGGGTACGGGCTGAATCTTGATCATTCTGGTTCACCGTTAAGAATCACGCTTCACCCCATATTGCTTTTTCCAGATAATCTATACTATCGATATCCAAAGTCAAAAGTATAATATTGTGTAATATTAATCAATTTCGTCGTAGGACCAGCTTCCAGAGGCGGAGATGCAGACGGAGGGTCGCGTGCGTGGCTCTGTGTACCGGGATTATTTCATGGAGGCATCAACCTGTCCATATGTTTCCCTTGTCTGCCTCATGTTCTTGTTAGCGCAGTTCTGTGCGAGCGCGTGCGACTACTGGATTAGTAAATGGTAAAAATATGCGGTTTTCATATAAATACTAGCTGTCCCAGCGAACTTCGTAACGCCATAAAAAATAGGGGTTGGTGGTAGAACAGTTAAAATTTAGGGATGTATGTATTTTTGTATGATGTATCATAAAAAAAAGAAAACAAAAAAAATATCCAAAAAAACAAAAAAAAAATAAGGGTGGATATTCTGTAGCTCTGAGAATCGGACAACATCTATTTTTCATGATAAGGGTGGTCCGACCACCCTTATCATTTAGGGAGATGAAAAATAGATGTTTTCCGATTCTCAGACCTACTGAATATGCATATAAAATTTCACGAAAATCGGTCGAGCGGAGTAGTTCAATTACGCACACCGTGACACGAGAATTTTAGTACTTATTAGATAACCGATTACTTATCTATAGTGTAGATTGTTTTTTTTAATGAATATGGCAGTGGATCTTTTTTCAAATCGTTCGAATGCGAAACACATTCGATATGATTAATATACCTACATACTTATATACTGATGAGTATAATATAATAACAAAACTAAGGTAACTCTCACTAGTACGTCCTTACACTTTTTATTTACGTTATGTTCATATAAATATTAAACAAAGATTGACAACCTTGACTGCTGAACAATAAATTCTACAAGCATATATTCTTTACTGAAATATTAACATCATTACCAAACCTAATAGTATTTAGAACAACTTTACAGCTTCCACTAAACAGCAGCTAATCCATGTTTTAGGAGTCACGCAGAAGATCGTCTCACAGGTGATACTACTATGGACAATATTTTGTGGAAGGAACAAGGCTTGCACCGTGACGGCTTCGTGCTCGTTTTTGGCGTTATCACTATTGCTACTATAATCATTGCTCTTCTAAGAGCCTTCTCATTCTTCTCATTATGTATGAGATCCTCAATCAAGTAAGGATTTTATTTCTGCTTATCTGTGATTTCTACTTTGAATTTACTAAAAAATTATCGAGTTATCTACTTTTTGGTTTATAATATTAAAACAAGCACATAAAAGTAAAATAATTATTGGGTATCGTGTTTATTACCGACTAGCTACTATAACTTTTAAAACTATGTGGAGTATAGTGAATGAAACGACAAACAAAAAAAATATTAAAGATAAATGTAATATAAAACTAAATTATAACAATATATTGTATTCCGAACCTAAATCCATTGCAAATATTTTTAATAACTTCTTTTCTTCCGTTGGTGAATCAACTTTGCCGACTGATAGCGGCTGTGGTACTCACGTGCTCAACCCTACGCCTAACACCATGTTTCTAAGCCCAGTGGAACCTTATGAAGTAAAGAAAATCATTAGGAATTTAAAAAATAAAAATAGCTATGGATTTGATGAATTGCCGCCCCGCTTAATCAAGGAGTGTACCGATCAGTTAACTTTGCCATTTACAATGTTGATTAATCAGTCCTTCAAAGAAGGTGTTTTCCCTACATTACTAAAAACAACAATAGGCTAGTTGCCTATATTTTAAAAAGTGGTTAATAATATACCTTGATGTTTATTTAACCCCAAAAAATATTATTTTAAATAAAAAAGTACATTAGCAATATGTATTTTGTATTTTAAAAAACTTATTCAAATTTCCCTCGAAAACGCTCTAGACTATCATGGCGTCTAGAATGACGTCACGCCGTGCAAAGCAAACAATACGCTGTACGCCGACTATTAAAATTATTTAGTTAAAAATGAATCCATCGTATTACAAGTACTGTATAGTGTCCTAGTATAAAAGGAGAAGCATAAAACGCCAGACTAATTATTTATATGCCACAAATGCGGAAAAAATGGTTAGAACTTGCAAGGAGGGATGGTACCTATTCATTGTTTATCAACAAATACAAGAATAATTTTGTGATGAACATTTTGATGTAAGTATTTTGCATAACATAATCAATGAAATCAAAATGTTATACAAGCCGGATAAATTATATTGCATTATATTGATAAAACAATGACAATAGGTTGAGGTTAGGTAAGCTGATTTAATTTTATGGTATGATTTAGAGTCTATTTGAGAGTTCAGTATATTTATTCATAATAATAATTATTATTCTTGTTCTAGTTGCCAAATGATATGCTTAATTATGTCGAGTAGTTATGCAATTATTTTTTTATTTTGGTTAAAATATTATTATTTGCTACGGTAAATCCCAATTCCATGGATTTATTAGGCTTCCTTTCAATACTTATCTGAAAACAAACTGATAATTGTATCAAAGTAACAATAACATGAATGAGATATCAAAGAAATGTATGGAAACGGCAACCACAAGTAATGTTTTGCAGGTGGTGACGTCAGTCTTTCTGATTGGTGTTTGCCGTCACGTGATCTAATGCCTATTTTATTCGAATTTATTTTCTAAAAATAATAATAATCTTTAATTATTATGATTAATAGCTTTATTTTTTGTTATCTGTATATCATAATTCATATTTAGAAACTGTAACCCATTCGATTTATTGTTAGTTGACACAAGCCTATTATCAAGCCTATCCATAAGAAAAATGACAAATCAAATCTTAACAATTACCGTCCCATCGCCCTGTCTACTTCGTCAAAGATATTTGAAAAAGCAATGAATGATCGTGTTATTAAGTTCTGCGAAAAGTTTGAAATCTTCGATGAAAGCCAGAATGGCTTTAGGAAGAAACGGTCTACAGTTTTGGCTGTTTATAAATATGTTCAGCAAATAATTAAAGTAATAGAAGATAAAAAATATGCTATTGGAATTCTATTGGTTATGTCGAAAGCATATGATAGTGGTAATCATAAAATACTACATAATAAATTATACGGAATAGGCATTCGCGGAACAGCGCACAATTGGTTTAAAAGTTATTTGCAAAACCGTCAGCAATTTGTTGAAATATAATATTTTGATCATATACACAAAGAAATAATAAAGGTTCTCTCTGAACGTAAAACTTTAAACGCTTCCATTCCTCAGGGGAGCGTCATCGGATGTCTCCTTTTTCTAATTTATATCAATGACCTCCCTAAAATAATAGAGGAACCGTGTGTCCTCTTTGCGGACGATATTTCTCTTCTCACATCTTGTAAAAACAACAACAACTTACAAACCAAATTAAATTTAATAATGACCCAGACTTTCAACTGGTTAAACAAACATAACCTTAGAATAAACTTTGATAAAACTAAATTAATAACCTTTCACCCGCGTCAAAAATTACCACTAAAATTCTGTTACAGTTTTCAAAACAAAAATATCGAATGTGTTAATGATTTTTCATTACTGGGTATAACTATAGACACTAACTTAAATTGGAAATCTCACATGATGTTAAAAAATAAATTATCTAGCTTTACATATGCACTTCGAGAGGTCAAAAAAACAACAGATCTAAAGACTGCTCTTATCACATATTATGCTTATGCCAATGCCTGGTTTACCTATGGAATCATCTTGTGGGGGAACAGTACGGACGTATCCTCTTTATTTATACTACAAAAGAAACTTATTCGTATTATTGTTAATATTAACCAAACTGAAAGTTGTAAACCTTACTTCCAAAAATATGAAATTCTTTCTTTACCATTTATATATTTGAGATTTGTAAATTTGTAAAAAAATACTCATTTTTTTTACTAGAAGAGAAAACATTCCTTCAAAATATACATCGAGACACAAGAAAAAGCTAATGGTTCCAACTACTCGCCTTAAATTATGCTCATCGAGCACTTATAATATGTCTATAACAATATATTAGTTATTTATTATACAAGAGTGGAAAGTTCCTTTTTAACCGCGTGCTCGATTTGGATGACCGAGCAAGCGAAGGATTCTAAAGTTGAATCACGAGCGCAGCGAGTGATTCTAAATTAGAATCCTGAGCGTCAGCGAGGGAAACAAACGAGCACAAGGTGAAAAATCTTTCCACTCGAGTGCAATACGTAACTTTTCATCCCACCTCAGCGAGGAAATGACAAAATGAAAAAGAAAACAATTTATAATGACAAAATATTTAAGCAATAAAACGTGAAAAACTAGAATGGCGCGAAGCACGCAAATAAAACAAAGAAACCAAGAAGGTTCCAAATTTAAATTTTTTCACAATTTAAAAAGTTCTAATCATAAATTTGGCACCATAGAGGTTACATTAAATAGGTTTAATGACGTTTTGAATTTACAATTATATTGAGTACTCATTATATGTGATGTTCTAAATTCAAATCTACTTTGCCGCTCAAGCGAATAAAATAGAATTTTCCAGCCAGATTTCGAAGCGCAAAATTACACTTTCCGAGGTGGTGGGATGAAAAATAAATTACCTGAAAATTAAAAAAATGAAGAAAATTACAATGTTTTTATTAAAAAAATTAAGTTAATGTTATTGAATAAATGCTATTATAGCCTCCAGGAATACCTAAATGATATAACTACTATGGAATAAATATAATAAATACTATATTATTTTTATTATAAAAAGATATAATACAATACTTATATAATTAATAATCGTACATAAATCATAAATCTAATTATACAATATCTTATTGGAGTAAGTAGTATGAATAAATAATTTTTATGGGTTTTAATTCATTGGATATAACAAATTATATCACAATAAGGAATTATGAATAAGACGCCCTCTCCTCTTGCAATTGCGATACCCTACACTACAGGGTCCATAATGCACTTTTTATCTATATACAGTGGAGCCCCGGTAATCCGGCCCCTGGCTAATACGGCACCCCCTATAATCCGACATCGTCTATTACATACAAGTATTCGCTAATTAACGATTGAACAAGTTACACCTTGTACGCACCATCACTATTTATTATTATTACTTTTATAATAAAACGTAATCTTTCTATTGTGTTGTTTAATTTATTAAATTTGACATACATAACGAAGTATGATTTGTAATCTTATCATTGGATCTGTAATTTGTTGGATTACAAGGTACTCTTTTGTAAAAAAAATCGGACTATAGGGGGTCTTAGGCAGTACTCTATAATCCGACAAATTCGATAGTTCGACACTGCCCTGCAAAATGTTTGTCGGACTACCGGGGATCCACTGTATTACCACCTTTGTATCCCCATTATGGTCTGCAATAAATGAATTGAATTGAACTTCCATCTGTATCTGCTGCGTAATACAGTTCGGTAGTAGAGGAATATAATTTGTTTTGAATAATAAACAGTTAGTATCTTATACAAAAAAACATCGTACATCGTACATTTTAGTAACTCTCAGAAATAGGTCACATGCCTTGTACTTTCTATCAATACGTTAGGTTGATAACACCAACGGCCGTGGAATCAAATTGAACACGTTTTGAACGTGACTATTCAATAGCTTCTTACATGAATGCCTCAACTATGATGAACAAACAAATAGTTTATCGTATTTGTAAATTTTTCACGCACGGATCCGGGTGAAAATTTTCCGCGTGAAGACTGTTCAATAATTAATTCATTACCAGGTTACACGATAAAATGATCGAATACGTGTCAGGGTCACCAATGAGTTTCTTCCACGCAAATCCGTCTGGAAGAATATTAAACAGATTCAGCAAAGATATGGGAGCGGTTGACGAACTTTTACCCCAAGCAATGATAGACTGTTTTCAGGTATCTAATCTAAGTGCGAGCACCAAATCACCAAACACATTATTGTCAGTTTTTGGAATATCTAAAAAATTACTAATCGTCTTCTAATTTTTCAGATAATATTAAACTTAATAGGTGTGATAGGCGTTATATTAATGACTGATATAACACTCCTGATACCCACAGCTGCTGCACTTATAATATTTTATATTTTGAGAGTTATTTATATTCGAACAACGGGCGCTGTTAAAAGACTAGAAGGAATAAGTAAGTACAGCCTTATTAAACAAACTAAGGTAAAATAATACTCCCTTCTGTCGTAGTAATTAAACGAAAAAAATATCTTTTTACAATGTGTATAGAAGAGTAATTCTATGTACAGAGTGACCTCAATTAAGTGAAACTGTATTTATTATACACGGGATCAAGGTCTCTCAGGGTCAATTTACAAGGACCGGCAGCTTTCTCAATGGAAGCGGTGTGAAATAATTTTAAACTTTATCTACATACTTAGAAAGATACAGGTAAGATAACTCTTTATTATAGCACCAAAAACACAATATAAAAATAACATTGACAAATTAGAGTAGAGGGTCACAAATAACGGTCTTACAGCTAAAAGCGTGGCTCAACCGTGGTATAATTTTGGCAGAAACTGAAAGAAAATAATCTTGAAGTGTGTCTTTTGAGTGTGTAGATAAAGTTTTAAATTATTTTACCTAAACTTTTAATCGTAATGCGATTTAAAAGGGGTGATTAAAAGTCACATCTATATGTGACATTTAAGCTGCAAACAAAAAACAAAATCGTCGCAATGTAATAATGTTTTATCGTAGCTCGCAGCCCTGTTTTCGGTCATCTGAACGCGTCAGTGCTCGGCCTGGTCACCATTCGTTCATTTGGTGCAGAGCTCCTTCTAGCGGAAGAGTTCGACCGACACCAGGACCTCCACAGCGCCGCGTGGTACCTGTTCATCACCTGCAGTCGAGCCTTCGGGTTCTTCCTCGATGTCATATGTTTGCTGTTCATCATATGTGTCACTTTCAGCTGCCTTATGAAAATTGGTAACTATGCTTTGGCTTTGAAACAAACTAAATGTTGCCACTAGCTTATGTAAATTCGTCTGAGGTCTTTGTTTCCAAGCCTTAGCAATCTGCAGAAGCTCCAACGTGTAATCGGGGTGGATAGTTTATGAAATAAATAAGCTTTTATAAATTTCGTGGTTCAGTTTTAATTTTGTTATTTAATCCTAATACTTATTATGCATACATATGAAAATAATTTACTATTTAGACATGGAAGCTAGTCAGGTTGGACTTGCCATCACGCAGTCCATATCTTTGACGGGTATTTTTCAATGGGGCATGCGGCAGTCTGCAGAAATGGAAAATCAGATGACCAGTGTCGAAAGAGTAATGGAATACACAAAGTTGCCTCAAGAACCTGCACTAAGAAGTGTAAGACCGATGATTCCTCTGCTAAAATTAAATCAACATTTATTGAATTCTACTAAATATTAATTGAATGAAATATACATGTAGGAACAACATAAGAAACCACCACATAATTGGCCCGAGGAAGGGGCCATAAACTTCGACAATATCAGTTTGAAATATACTCCAGATGGAAATTATGTACTGCACAAGCTGCAAATAAATATCAGGCCACAAGAAAAGGTACTAGTCAAACCAAAAACATTATTAAATAAAACTAGTTTTTTCGGGTTAATGCACGAAACTTTATTTATTTATTGACGTTTCGCAGCCTTTTCAGGTCTGCATCGTCAGAATATATTCTAAAAACTAGTTTTATTTAATGAGTGATGTGCGTGAAAACCTAAGAAACAAATATAAAAACATTATTGAATTGACGCCTGATATATAATTAATATTCTAATATTTTCTATTGTAGATTGGAATTGTAGGCAGGACAGGAGCAGGAAAGTCTTCAATAATACAAGCCCTATTTAGACTGGCTTATTTAGAGGGTTCTATATTTATAGATGGTGTTGATATTATGTCGATTGGTTTACATGATTTGAGAGAAAAAATATCTATCATACCTCAGGTAAAATGAACGAATTAGATAGCCAACAAGCCAATCGAAGGAGGATAAAGTTCAATTGAATAATTTTATCTATATATTTAAAAGTTGACAAGTTGCTATTATTGCGAATAGATCACAAAAAGTTAGATCTCAGTTATAAGAGCAATTTTTGTTCACAGTAGCTCTCCACTGTTATTCCGTTAAAGAAACAGTCTTTCAACCAAACTATTGTAAAAACCCTCATTTTAGAAAATGTTCAATCTGGTTACTTTTTACGACAGGACAGTCCGAGTTGAATGATTCATAGCAAAATTTAACTATTCAGTTTTGAGAAATGGTTATTTTTTCTACAGTATTTTTAACTATAGTCACAATAAACAATGTATCAAACAACGCGGAATAACTGTTTAGCAATATATAAGTATATTAACGTAAATGTGAAACTTTCATAGTGACTTTTAGGAACCAGTATTATTCAGCGGTACTATGAGAAAAAATTTAGATCCATTCGATGAATACCCAGATGAGGTGTTACTAAGAGCTTTAGAAAATGTTGAACTACAGACGGGCGAGGAAAATGCTGGTAAGGAAATAATAGGTTCTTTTTGTTTAAATGGAAAATATCTTGTTTTTCTCTATTCCACTTATTTTGTTGGAATATGAGCAATTCTGTATAACCATAATATATATAAATAAATCACAATCAATGTTCTTACACCTTAAACAAACATCGTCAAATTTTAATATACACAGGTCCTTTGTACAAGTTAGTGTCGGAGAGCGGTTCTAACTTCAGCGTTGGCGAGAGACAGTTGGTTTGCCTCGCACGCGCCATCGTACATAACAACCGCGTGTTGGTGCTGGACGAAGCCACTGCCAACGTGGACGCAGAGACCGACGCACTCATACAGACTGCCATCCGGACACATTTCAGCGCCTGCACCGTGCTCACTATAGCGCACCGACTCAATACAGTCATCGACTCAGACAAGGTGCCATTCCAGTTTAGATTATTAACAACGTGTTCCCTGATCGTAGACGCGGGGACCGGTGCGCGCATACAGACCGCCATCCGGAACCATTTCAGCGTCTGCACCGTGCTCACTATAGCGCAGGACATCAACCCAGTCTTAGACTCAGACAAGGTGCCATTCCAGTTCGGATTATTAAGAACGTGTTCCATGATCGTGGACGCGGGGACCGACGCGCGCATACATACCGTCATCCGGAACCATTTCAACGCCTGCACCGTGCTCACTATAGCGCACCGACTCAAAACAGTCATCGATTCAGACAAGGTGCCATTCCACTTTAGGCTATTAAGAACGTGTTCCCTGATCGTAGACGCGGGAACCGGTGCGCGCATACAGACCGCCATCCGGAACCATTTCAGCGCCTGCACCGTGCTCACTACAGCGCACCGACTCAACACAGTCATCAACCCAGACAAGGTGCCATTCCAGTTTAGACTATTAAGAACGTGTTCCATGATCGTGGACGCGGGGACCGACGCGCGCATACAGAGCGCCATCCGGAACCATTTCAGCGCCTGCACTGTGCTCAATATAGCGCACCGACTCAACACAGTCATCGAATCAGACAAGGTGCCATTTCAGTTCAGATTATTAAGAACTTGTTCCATGATCGCGGACGCGGGGACCGACGTGCGCATACATACCGCCACCCGGAACCATTTCAGCGCCTGCACCGTGCTCACCATAGCGCACCGACTCAACACAGTCATCGATTCAGACAAGGTGCCATTCCAGTTAAAACTATTAAGAACGTGTTCCATGATCCTGGACGCGGGACCGACACGCGCATACAGAACGCCATCCGGTACCATTTCAGCGCCTGCACCGTGCACAATATAGCGCACCGCATCAACCCAGTCTTAGGCTCGCGCTGTGTCGCTCTGATAGCACATAGCGACATCCCTTTCTAACTGTGCTCAAGTGGGGATCAGCACTTAGTTGTCATTCCGTAATACGAGCATTAGACTCAGACAAAGTGCCGTTCCAGTTTAGATTATTAAGTTCCATGAACGTGGACGCAGAAACCGGCGCGCACATACCAACGATATTAAAAACTCTAGATACACCAAGAGCGCTCAAAATGTTTCGTAATCAGGAAGTGCTTGAACGCCACTCAATCACTTCTTTATTAACAGTCACGCGCGGTCCCTTGAAAAGACAACATATGAAAAGATACCTTTAGTACGTTAAGTGTAATTTTTTGGACAGGTATCAAATCAATATTTGTTATTGTTAATATAACGAATTTGAAGCTAATTTTGTTCTATTATGTACTATAAACTGATTTAATTGAAAACATTTGTAATAATCAAATGCATGACGGGTTATTTGTGGTCTCTATCCCTCGCACTCCGCGCCAGCTATATTGTTAACAGATTAGTCAGAAATACCATATAAAGGCATAGAAATAAAGTCTCTGTTCTTCTGCTTACAGCGACAAGTCGTAAAGTTTTACGAGCTTGCATTTCTAACTGTGACAATTCCATGACGTATGCCTTTAAATTAGGACCTTGTATAATAAGCAGTAATAGTGAATTTAATGTTTAAATAATGCTTTATAAAGTTTGGCTACGATTTCACCCTACGGAGCTCCTTGAATCGTTCAATGTACCTTTTGGACAGGTATCAGCTACGATTATGTTCGTGGCGTTGTTTCTAGGGTATTTAATATCGTTGGCTCATACAGACCGCCATTAGGACGCACATCAGCGCCTACACGGTGTTCACTATAGCGAACCGACTCAACACAATCATCGCCCTAAACGAAGTGTACATTTGATTTTGGTCTTTTGTGGCGCCCTCTAGTTGACCGAGTTGGAATAGACACTAAGCTCCTCCCGATTTCTAACCTTTCTCATTAGTGTCGATTCTGGTATGATTTTGTAAACTTACACTGAGTAACCATCCTGACACCATTATCATACTATCTTACGACTCTAGGCGACTGCATTAGACTTATTTTTGTTGGAACCGTCATCGCTGCGACCATGACATAAAACGTTACATGGATATATGCGTATTTTTTTATCAAATAAGTAGAAAAGTGTATCACTAAAAAGAAAAGAGAGATAATGTACCTTTACAATATATGTTCCTTTAATGTTTAGTTCACTAGCTCAATGCTGAAATAAACGAATAATCTGTCTGTATTTCATTAGCAAGCCGAATGAAAGAGTAGAGGGCCGATTTACATTACGGACGCGCTTTATTCTATCTTTATCTGTAACGTTTATTTTACATAATCTATTCTTTGTCTTCAAAATTTTAATTAAACAGCTATCTTTGCGATTCTGTATTTTCATTGAAAATAAAAGCAAAAAAAATGTGTAACGCAGGATTAGAATTAAAAATATACATTAAAATTGCACTTTATTTGTTTAGAACAACGGATGAAAGTAAACTACAGTTTCACTCATGCCACGGTAGTACGTACGCACAATGCACATTAGGTACCTACGACGTACCCCTCATCTCTTTCTTTCATTGTAGAAATGAAATGTAACTATCTCTCTTTCTCTCTCCATCGTTCGGCTCGGATATCACAACTCAATCGCACCGAATTTGTCTATCCGTAAAACAAATCTTAATGATTAGAAAGAGATTTAATATAATTATAACATAAGTGAGAGGAAGACTAATTAGCTCTTTGGGAAGAACATAATCTTTTTTTACTTTAGCTCACGAGATACAAAAGTCTACATATAAGGAAGCTCAATATCAAGGATGCTAAGCTCTTTATTATTCTTTTAACTGCAGGAACGAGTAACAAAATAGTATTAACTTTTTTGTATCGTCACATCATTTTGATAGATTTGGCTTTTTTAGATTCTGGTGTTGGACGCTGGACGTCTGATGGAGTTCGACCATCCACACATTCTGCTTCAGAATAAGAAGAGTAACTTCTATAAAATGGTATCAGAAACCGGTCCGTCTATGGCAGCGTTACTGCACAAACTAGCCGCTGAGGTTAGTTATTATACTTTTATATAAAACATACTTGTTGTAAACTCGTGTACTAAGTAGGAGCGTTGTATTTAAATCTTGAGCCATTTAAAAAGTAACCTACATTCATACCCTTTGCACGAACCAATATTGAAATCGAATAGTTGCATTCGGTCTCGATACGCATCAAATGTCAAGAAGTTTTCTAGTAAAATTGTGTAAAATTTCAACAACGCCACAACGGATGTTACTAGAAGTAAGAATCTTCCATACTTCTTGACCAAATGTCAAATTTTTGTATGGAAAATTCTTATTTATCATACTAAGACGCGCATTGAGATAAAATTCAACTATTCCAATTCGATATTGTTTTGTGCTAAGAGTACTGTTATCCAAGGTATTTCTAAAGTGGCGACTACGACGCAATACATTCAGTCAATGTTTATAATGTGCAAGGGGGTTAAACTCTTGCACATTATAAACAGGATGTGCGAAAAGTAAGGACTGAATGTTTTGGTAGCCATTTTTCAATTCTACTCTTTATTGGTGCAATTATTTATGTACAAGCTATTTCTGTGTAAATGTTTACTTAATGTTTTTTCGATATACTACTTACTTGTTTCAGAATTACAAGAACAGGCTACCACGCAAATGAAACTATTAAATTCAATATTTATAAATTATGTTTATTTCTCATTATAAATAAATTTTTCTTAAAATATAATAATGTAATTTCATTTACAAGTTTATAAGTAATATACTGTTTTCTTTACACTACAATTACATACAATACGCACCATAAATAGTATTACATAGTAATTTGTTGTATACATACAGTAAACACCTAAACTGTTTCCATGTTGCAATTAAGGCTGGCCAACTGCAATTCCATTTTCTTCTCGAACCCTTTTATTAATTCTTCCATGCGCCTAAAGAAGAAAAGGATAAGCATTGAAAATTCTACTTGAAATTTATTATCAATCGTCCTTATGTAACGTTGTGCGTTAATAAACAAAATCCTTAATAAACAATAAGTATGAAAGTATTAGAAGTTATAGCTTAAATAACTTTTAATTTAAACGTAAACTGCGTCAAAGGCTAAATCTTAATTCTATATCTTAACCTAAAACATTAATTACATAAAATTGTTAGGAAATCAAAGTAAGTTCTAGCTAAGCAACCGCGCCCTTTTGAGTGAATTTGTATAAATCGCTATGCAAGATTTTTTTACGTAAGGAAAGCGTGGCCTATCAGCGTTATCCTTTCCGTTGAGTCGGCTTGGTCGTGCTCGTGTCGAATTTTCAAAATAGTCAGAGCGACGCAATCACTGAGCACATCTTTGCCGTCGTTCTCGCGTTAAATAACAAACGCGAACTAAACATACATAGAAGACAATTTACTATTACGAACAGACTGTTTGAAAAAACCCCAACCCATGCGGGGATTTTTGGATTTACTCTAGCGCGGCAAAATAACACAAGGAGGCACCCTTGAACTTGTGGTGTACTCCCATAATACCTGAGCCCTCTATGTAGGGTCGAAATAACTAAATTAATTCCCTTATTTTATTAATGTTCGTTCGTTATAGGTATTACTTGTACCTATTTAACTAAAAATAAGTAAAGACCCCCGGGATGGAATTTGATGCGCTTTGTCACATATGATCATGATTATAATACCTTTCAAACAAATGAAGTTTAAACCGTGGCGGACGTGGGTGCATTGTCCATACATTTTTGCCCAATGTTCTTTCGATATGTTAATTAACGAAATTAGATATATGGTAGCAAGTAACCAGCAAACTTACTTTTTATCCTCTTCAGTTTCTAGGGGCGGTATCCCTGCTAAAGCCTCCATTAAATGGTTCCTAAAACAATAATATTATAGTCAAACATTTTGCAATATATTTTTGTATAGTATTATCTTCTAGCGTCACAATTTATAAATAGTAGAAGAATGGTGGCGGCATTTCCACTAAGAAAATGTGGGGAAGGGCAAGATAGGGTGTTGTGTTACATAGGTTACACTCATAACTTTCAAAGGACTGAACAAAATTGGATATTTCTTTTTTTATTGTGTTCTAGTACGAGAGCCCAAGATACTTAACCTAATACGATAAGACTCCCAGATTTAAATGTATAATGAGACACGTCATTAATATGAGAACTCGAAATTAAGATGCTGCAATGCAAAAAATCGACCAAGTGCGAGTCGGCCTCGACCGTGTAAGCAAAAATCATTTGTTTTTTCGTCGCAACTTACAAAGTATATTAAAAATCGGCGTTTTCAGCATTTTTTGTAGTTAGTAAATACAGCATTTTAGGACATCATAATACCAAAATTTCACATTCCTAACTATTTTCGATTTTGAGATAGACCTTACGGTGTCAAAAATAGTCTAAAATGACAACTTTGACGGCCCCCCATTTATTTGTTATTGAAAGTAACATTTTAATCTTTAATTAATAGGCTACTTTACTCATGTCGAATTGTATTAAATAAATGTTTATTTCTTAAAGTATTTGGTCTAAGGAACCTAAATATATCGATTTCACTTCATAAAAGCAGAAGATTGCTGTAGAAATTTAATTTTAAAAAATATTTTTTAGTCTATATTTTTTAAACACTAAAAACGCTGTTCGCCACATCCGGCATGATTTTGACGTCTCTTGTGGTAAACAATTAAATGTCATTCACGTGTTCCTGTAGGTGGATTCTTTCGTCTGACTAAATTTATCTTAAAACACTTTTAACTTTAGGAAAGAAAAAAACAGTAAACTTAGTTTTTTTTGACAAAACTAATTATGGATGCCGGTTTTGTGAAAGCAGAAAGCACAAATCTGCCAAGAATTGACGCATTGATGGTTGGTGAATTTGTTGCACTAAACCCCGATTTCTGCTCTGCGGAGCAGAGAAACGACAAGGCATCTATGTAAGTACAGTGCATTTAGTATTACAGTGTAGTAATAAACATAAAACTGATACAACATATGAATAAGTGTAATAAAGTTGCGTAGGTTAATTTCTTTCGGCACTTTAATCCACAACTTTCCTGGAGTCTTCAAGGATGTGTTTTTATATTCTCGTACAATACAGTAATGATAATTACTTTATTTTTCGTGGTATTTATTAGAAATCATGTTTTTTTTATTATAAACTCAGTTTTAAGTAATTTTCTACGTGTTTACGAGTTTTTGTTTACCAGAGTTCACGTCATAGCATAGATAATCTATAGACTAAAATGGCCGACAGCGTTTTTGTATGTCCATGAAAAGTCTATTTTAAAATTAAAGATTTATAGCTTTCTAGGTTTAAAAAAAATACAATACATTTTTTTTCGGTCTAATAGAACATTTATTAACCATTTAAAACCTTTTTCCAAAAAGGGTCAACTAGCCTATTATTTCTGTTACTAACTAAAGTCATTACAAATTAAAGCCACACGAACGGAAATGTGTTTTCATGGAAATTTAACTACCATTGGTGATAATAGATGGCGTTGTTCTATTTCTAGATCGCGGCAGGTTTTACAAAGTATTACAAATCTGTCGCGAAGTTAAGCCAAATTCCCATACAAAGTGAGCCTTTGATAGCGACCCGCTCGTGCCCGGCCGGTGCAGCGGGTGCTGCAAACAAGCCGCGCACTCTGCGAGCGTAAATCGCGCCATGAAATTTACAATTGAGTTTTACGTACAATATCACATTCTTAGCGAGTTACGGTCCAGCAGCTACGGCGGGCGTTGGTAAAAATCGCTCCGTGAGTTCTTAGCCACACTCATTTGGCCCTCAGCTGCGTATACTCGAGGCGCGCCTGGAAGGCGGCGGCGCGGCTGCACAGGGCAGGCGCGCACGCCCACAGGTGCGCCAGTTCCTTGCACCTGTCTCACAGAATCTGTGTCAACATCTGATGTTGCCAGCACTCACACGGCCCTCCTGGTGAGGTGCAGGGCGACGCGACGGCGCGGTGCAGCAGCGTATACTCGAGGCGCGCTTGGAAGACAGCGGCGCGGCTGCACAGGGGCGGCGCGCACACCCACAGGTGGGCCAGATCCTCGCATCTGTCTCACAGAATCTGTGTCAACATCTGATGATGCCAGCACTCACTCAGCCCTCCTGGTGAGGTGCAGGGCGACGGCGCGGTGCAGCAGCGTATACTCGAGGCGCGCTTGGAAGGCAGCGGCGCGACTGCCCAGGGGCGGCGCGCACGCCCACAGGCGCGCCAGTTCCTCGCACACCGTCTCACAGATGTCGCGCACGTATCGAGCGGACGCCGCGCCGCAAACGCTGTCCACCTGCGTAACGTGAACATTTATAAAGTATATGTTTTGAACGAAACGTTTTGTGAAAGACACAAAGTATGATGTAGTAAAAAGAAATGGTAGAATATTGTACGAAATGAGAAACAAAGCACTATTAATAGGAATAAAAGCGATAGAAACAGGGCTGGATTTAGAGGTGTGGAGGCCTAAAGATAACGAAGGAGCGGAGGCTGCTAATTCTGCCCGTCCCCTCCCCTCCCGCGGTTGGTGACCAATCACAATTTGTTTTTTTTATCTCTGTTGTGGGGACCTCTCTCTCTGGTGGGCCCTTCAGACAAGGCCCCGTCTACGCTGCCCTATCTGGCCCTGGATAATAATGACTATAGACAAAATACGCCGAATATTCGTACTCGGTACATTTGGCCTATTTTTCATATTCGTATTAATTTATTCATGGAAAACAAATGGCATGTTAAAATAAAGGATAAAACAAAATTATGTGGTATTGATAAGCCTTACATAACCTTACACGGTATTCGGCTGAATATTCGGTTGATTTGCCGAATAAATACCATATTATATTAAATTATTGTTAATATTTAAAATAAGTTTTTTTTAAACAATAAGGTGAAGCCGTTCAAGCTTACAGCGACAAGTTTTTTTTCTTTATATTTTGTTGACAATGTCAAAAATATAGGGGTTGATGGCGTGCAGGGCTGAGGCGTGCCAGGTATAGCTTACCGAACTAAGCATTCTATGACACATCACCATAAGAGTTTCTAGCCTTACAGACATACCGTTACTCGAAGGGTTCAATTGGTCTACAAAGAAGTATCACTGCGTAAACGTGCTAGCTCCGTTATACAATTTACAATTAATAAGGCCTTTACGGCCGTTCAAAAATTGCCATAGCGGACGGTATTTCACGTCCACACGGCGGGGTATTGGTAAAGTTTTCAACTAGCAATAATCGCACCTCGGATTAACCTCATTGGTTACGATATTGCCTCTGCGCAAAGTTAACTTAACCAAATGAGCAAATCGTCTTATGAATATGTTGCAACAAAACGTTTGCGCGATGTAGAAGTACACCAGCGCCATCTAGTAATATCTGACGGAACTAACTTTTCTTTGTTATGTATGCGACCACCACTGCATACGTATATTTATACAGAAAATACATACTAAACATCTTATATTAAATTCCAAGTCTATAATCTAATTTAAGGCTTAAAAGCTAAAAACCAATGAGAGAAGGGGCCCATTCCACAGAAAACAACCTTGCTCTTCCATTTAAGAACAATAAAGACAAATAAATTAAAATTGATTTTTTTTTATTACCACAAATTAAACATGCAGTAACTTAAAAAAACAGATCAAGACAAAAAAATATAGTATAATTAAATTATAACTTTACAATTAGGTAATTTGCCATAACTTGGGTGGTAAGGATAGATATGAGATGGTAATAGGGTTATCCCGGTGCTTGTTTTCAGACTGCCCCCCTTAGCTATAAGATCTATTTTAGGAAAATAGGTTAAACATCTCAATCAAAGGTTAAACATTTAACCAAAGACCTCCGTGGCCGAGTGGATTGTACGCCGGGTTTCATGGTGTCGCCGAGTCGAGAGGTCCCGGTTCGAATCGTTTGTGCGATGAATACCAGCATTTTTACTCCAGTCATGGATGTTTAATATTATGTATTTCTATATTTAAATACTTATACTAGCTGACCCAGCGAACTTCGTACCGCCATAAAAATAGGGGCAGGTGGTAGAAGAGAAAATTTAGGGTTGTATGTATTTTTTAATAACACATTATAAAAAAAATCAATATTGTTCAAAAAAATTTGTAAGGGTGTGTTCTATCAATTTCCTGGTTTAACAATTCTCCTAACCCATATGAGAACACTACGTAACAATACCCAATAGTTTGAATTTTGGCGCGATGGCGCATTGTAGGTTTCAGAACACTACAGGTGGACAACCATTATCACTTAAGGATATGAAAAATAGATAGTAGCCAATTCTCAGACCCACGGATTATACATATATTTTTTTTTAAATCGGTCAGGCCGTTTCGGAGGAGTATGGTTACTAACATTGTGACACAAGAATTTTATATATAAGATATGTAGTGTTGTATTCTAACCGTTACCCTAGTATCCCATAACACAAGCCTTACAGTGCTTACTTTGGGGCTAGGCTAATTGGTGTGAATGTTGGAAATATTTATTATTTTCAGCCGCTTCACTTACCTCAGCGTGAACCGCTATCAAGTTGTTGATAATCTCGTAGACGTACGGTCTTGCGTCGTCCACGGGAACATCAGCGTCAGTGCGATGGCAGCCCATGTACATGCTCGGCTCTATAGTGCCCACTAACGGATCACCTTTATGCTCCAAATATGTTTCAGCGATAGTGGACTCTAGACTGATCAACGAATCTTTGGTGGCTTGCAAAGCTTGCGTCGGTTTCGGGAAGCCGTATCTGTATTGAAGTAATTAGAATTTATTTTTATGCTTATTATGCGCAAGCAATTTTTTTTTAAGTATAATTATTAGTGTTGTAATACACAATCAATGGTTTTGTACCTTGGTGATAATTTATAAGAATATTTTGTCATGGAGATTTGTTATTATTTTTTCCTGTTCGAACTATTATTCCATTTTCATCCATAAGACTTTCTATTGTTTTGAAAACAAATGTCAAATTCCAAAGATCTTTGGTAAATTATAACAGTTTCCTTATTTTTGGAAGGTTCTAAGTACAAACGCATTCTCTGTAAAACAAAACTTGTCTGCGTTGTCATTTTTACGCGAATTATCGGGCAAGTGGGCTATGATTCTATTTGTTTGATAGTACATGCTCGGCTCTAAGGTGCAGACTAGCGGGTCACCTTTGTACTCCAAATACGTTTCAGCGATAGTAGACTCTATAAGATTGATCAACGACAACGAGTCTTTGGTGGCATAGAAAATTGCGTCGTCGGTTTCGAAAAGCCGTACCGCATCGCTCAGTCGGGTATCCATTGGAAAATAAATAATGTTGTTTTTATGGAATAAAAGTAAATGTTATTACTTAATTAAATATAAATTTAATTAACACTGTGGCCGGTGTATCTGTGTGTATGTAACACTATATGTACACACTAATCGCTGGCGGCGGCGAACGCAGGCAGGATGGTACGACGTGTGTACTACGCGTATGCACCAACTGTGGCCGGTATGTCTGTGTGTGTACGTGTATGTAACACTGTGGGTGTGTACGCACTGATCGCAGGCGGCGGCGAGCGCCGGCAGAATGGCGCGCCACGTGTACTGCGCGTTGACACCAACTGGGGCCGGTGTGTCTGTGCGTGTATGTAACACTGTGGGTGTGTACGCACTGGTCGCAGGCGGCGACGAGCGCCGGCAGGATGGCGGATGGCGTACCGCGTGTACTGCGCGTTGGCACCAACTGGGGCCGGTGTGTCTGTGTGTGTACATGTATGTAACACTGTCTGTGTACGCACTGGTCGCAGGCGGCGGCGAGTGCGGGCAGGATGGCACGCCGCGTGTATTGCGCGTAGACACCAACTGGGACCGGTGTGTCTGTGCGTGTATGTAACACTGTGGGTGTGTACGCACTGATCGCAGGCGGCGGCGAGCGCCGGCAGGATGGCGCGCCACGTGTACTGCGCGTTGACACCAACTGGGGCCGGTGTGTCTGTGTGTGTACGTGTATGTAACACTGTGTCTGTGTACGCACTGGTCGCAGGCGGCGGCGAGCGCGGGCAGGATGGCGCGCCGCGTGTACTGCGCGTTGACACCAACTGGGGCCGGTATGTCTGTGTGTGTACGTGTATGTAACACTGTGGGTGTGTACGCACTGATCGCAGGCGGCGGCGAGCGCCGGCAGAATGGCGCGCCACGTGTACTGCGCGTTGACACCAACTGGGGCCGGTGTGTCTGTGCGTGTATGTAACACTGTGGGTGTGTACGCACTGATCGCAGGCGGCGGCGAGCGCCGGCAGGATGGCGCGCCACGTGTACTGCGCGTTGACACCAACTGGGGCCGGTGTGTCTGTGTGTGTACGTGTATGTAACACTGTGTCTGTGTACGCACTGGTCGCAGGCGGCGGCGAGCGCGGGCAGGATGGCGCGCCGCGTGTATTGCGCGTAGACACCAACTGGGACCGGTGTGTCTGTGCGTGTATGTAACACTGTGGGTGTGTACGCACTGATCGCAGGCGGCGGCGAGCGCCGGCAGGATGGCGCGCCACGTGTACTGCGCGTTGACACCAACTGGGGCCGGTGTGTCTGTGTGTGTACGTGTATGTAACACTGTGTCTGTGTACGCACTGGTCGCAGGCGGCGGCGAGCGCGGGCAGGATGGCGCGCCGCGTGTACTGCGCGTTGGCACCCGCCACTAGTAGGCGTTGCTGCCAACTGTGGCCGGTGTCGCGGGCCGGCTGGCTCTCGTCCAGCCGCTGATCCAACGCCACCGAGAGACTGGTGTTGTTGAAGTCCTGCACGATAAGAACAAGCGCACATTGAGCTACTAAACTACTGGTTCAGTTTAGCCCCCAATCGAAGCCGTTAGTGACTTAGTGGCGGCCACTAGTTGCTTATTGGCGGCCACTAGTGGCTTAGTGACAGCCAGTAATGGCTTCAATTGTTTAGTGATAATTATTAGTATTCGCGATTAGTGGCACAATGTGCGCTAGCTCTAAGAGAATGCAATCCGTAAATGACAGCACACTCAACATCATATTTAAATGCACATTCAAATGGGGCATCATTTAAACAGAATATATATTTCAAAATGATACGTAATAGCTATACTAACTAAAGATTACAAATGCTCGTATTCATCACACAAACATCTGCCCCCACCGGGATTCGAACCCGGGACCTCTCGAGTCGGCGACAACATCAATCCCGGCGTACAAACCACTCGGCCACGGAGGTCGTCAAATGCTCATAACTCGACCAAATCTTGTGATCGCATTGGATCGCATCGTTTAGTTGCTTTCGTGTGAACGCTGATTCGTTCAATAGTTTAATGTCGCGTCGTTTGATTGGCTTTTTATTTATTAGGTGGAAGTGAGGTGGGGACGAGCTGGCGACATCGGTAATGGCAACCAATATCGCCGACAAACGATCTATGATCACTCCATTAACCTCTTTCTGTGTTCTGTGCTACTGCACGAACCGCCTTCATGCCTTTGATACGTCCATCTATTCTATATGAATATGAACTAACAAACCTGGGGGCCATTCGCCTAACGGGATTGCTATGGCTATCGCTACCACATAAGATTTCCTTTTGTTATTTCTGACCGCCGAAGGTTTTCAAATGCCCCGCACTCATTTTTTTTTCTTTTGTATTGGTAACAACAATATAAAAGACAATGAGTTTAAGGTGTTTGAAAAACTTCGGTGGTCAGAAATAACAAAATGAAATCGTAAGCGATAGCGATACCCTTAGCAATCCTGTTAGGCGAATGGCCAGCTTTGTTAGTTCATATTCATATAGAATAGATGGACGTATCAAAGGCGTTAAGGCAATTCGTGCAGTAGCACATAACACAGAAAGAGGTTAGTAGGGTTCCGTTAGGCGATTGATCCCTAGTCGCCGTCGTGGTATAACGCCAGTTCGCTGCTGTTCGCCAACAACGCGCCCTCAACCTGCCCGGTGTCAGAACGCATTTGACACGATTCAATTCACTTATATCATCGAGCATTACTCGCCTGGTCGCCGTCATAGTATAACGCCAGTTGTCGTAGCGCCGCCACGAACGCGAACAAAATCTGCTTCACCTGACAAAATCTGAAATCTGACACCTGACAAAACAAAATCTGCTTCCTCTGTTTCTGGGCCGCAATCGCCGTCTCGCTGCCTTCGCAAGCAGCGCGCTCTCACGCTGCCCGATGACAGCACGCCTTTGATACGATTATATTCACTAATATCATCGAGAATTACTCGCCTGGTCGCCGTCATAGTATAACGCCAGTTATCGTAGCGCCGCCATGAACGCGAACAAAATCTGCTTCACCTGTTTCTGAGCAACGACCGCGGGCTCGCTGGCTTCCGCAAGCGGCGCGCCCTCACTCTGCCCGATGACAGCCCGCATTAAAACGATTACATTCACTAATATCATCGAGCATTACTCGCCTGATCGCCGTCGTGATGTAACGCCAGTTGCCGCAGCGCCGCCACGAACGCGAGCAGTATCTGCTGCACCTGTTTCTGGGCCGCACTCGCCGGCTCGCTGCCTTCCGCTAGCAGAGTGCCCTCACGCCTACCCGATGTAAGTACGCATTTATGGATGGACGATAAGGCTTCCGTCACGTACGTTAGAAGCAAGTTGGGCTGAAAACGATGCAATAGGTTCTTTATTAACAGCCTTATCATGTCACCAGTGGCGGCGTATCACCTGTCGGGATCGCTTCGGTTATTGCTATAACTTATGATTTCTTTTTTTGTTATTTGTGACCGCCAAAGATTTTCAAATACCTCGCCCTCATTTTATTTAATATTCTTATTACCAATGCAAAAAGAGCGCGACACATTTGTAAACCTTCCGCGGTCACAAGACGAAATAACCGAACTTAAACCGATAAGCAATGTCCATATTGTAAAGCTCTTACTTAGGAAGAACTAGTTGTCAAAATGAACTGACATATGATAAGGGGTATGCGCGAGCGCGTCTCATTCTGTGTATTGTCAACTTGTGATGTGGAAGTGTCTACTTAAAAAGTTTAATATCTAAAGTATGCAGAGTTTTATCTAAAAACTTTATAAATTAAAATCTATGTACCAGATTAGTGATGGCGCCGTAGTCGGAAAACTCCTCAATCTTCCAGGTCTCTTTCTCGGCGAGGCCCTTTACTCGTTTGTGGGCGCGTTGTAAGAATACCGTCATTCCGTGCACGCGATAGTCGAATATCACCTTCTCCACTATGGTGAGAGGCTGGAATAAATAAGAGCCTTTATACTAAACTAAGTAAGCATACTTGATATTAGACTTGAGGCGACGACATCTAAGCGCCCCACACATAACTAATCGAAGCCAGATAGCCTAGCACTCATTATGGCCACACGAAATCCACGATACCGACTTTGGAAAGCCTTCATTGCGCTAATGAAATTCAGAAACCAGTGCCTGACCAACTTTGGTTGGGCCGCATCCCTCAGGCTATGATCATCTGGGTTAGTTAGAGCAAGATCTAAGACTCCAGGAGTCTAAGGAATATGCAACGATACTAAAATATCGAACACTAAAAATCTTCCAGCGTTATAGCGTCCACCAATCAACGTGGGCTCTTTTTTGAGTGTGTATGCTGTTGGTCACAGATGACCTTTACAGCGTCACCGGGTTTGGGGACGGCGAGATCCTAGGGGACCGAGAGCCGAGAATTGGCGAGTGCCTCTAGAGGTATTCCAGGCGGATGGCATCTCCCCAAGGGGGAGGCTCCTCTCCGTCTGGAGCCCCTAGACCACTCGAGCTGGAGGGGGTCGGCTCGACTAGAGGGCGTCTCTGAAACTCGAACCTCGGCTCTAGTTAGCCGTTGTCGTGGGGTGCTAACCTGGGGAGGGGGTATACCTAACCGACCACCTGGGCTGTCCACGTGGGTGGTCAGTTGAGAACCAAAAATACTAAACGACCACTTGTATAATCAGTATTATGTTTTCTTTTGTTCAGCTAACTGTACCACCGAATAAGAGGTTCTTAGTTATCAGAAGGAATATGTGGAATGCAGTACCTTCTTAGGAGTTATGTTGTCCTGTTATCTAACCTACGTCAGATTTAACAAATTATAGTTATTTTTTTCCAACAAACACAAGTCCGCTTAACTGTACAGTTAACAGTAACAGTTACATAATATTGTAATAAAAAAAACATTCTATGTGGTTCCATCTATAAGAAAGTCTAGATTTAGCGGTTTCACCGACATTGCGTGCTTATGGTAGCAAACTTTTTAACGATCCACTAGATGGAGTGAAAATTTCATCAATTAAGATGTAAAAATTTAACAAGCGGAAATAATTCATTAAAGTATCCTACACTGATGTGATAATAGGTAACGGTTAGTTTCAATAAGATAGGCCTTTTAGACCTTTGTTGCTCAGATGTTTTTATTATTTAGATTTAAATAACAGCTGTTTCGAAACCACGTAATCAGATTATCCTTATAGAGTAAGATCTCAAGACCGCCAGACATTACTTATTTTCTGCTGGACAAAATATGGACAATTGAGTAGTATTAGTGTGTACAATTAACGTATACATACTAACTTGTACTGTGTGCTTTTCAGGTATCAGGTGGAGCAGGCACGTACAAATTTAACACTCTTTGCTTACAGTCTGATGACTGATTCTTACATAAACTATGTTGTAAAAAATAATGTTAACAATTTGAAATTAATACTGCCAGACACATTCTGTCAGCAGTATTTATTGCCAGACACTTCAAATGTCGAAAGCAAAAAACACAAGCTTTCTACTGGAGATTTATTATAAAAAACGGAATTGAGAACCTACTTTTCAAAGTGGGTTAAAAACTGGGCGTAAAACAAAAGTACTTCTAGTCCAGTCACTTTCGGGTTTCACCTCGAAATTTGAGATAATAAGCTGGAAATAATAAATGGAATGAATCTCGGTGAATAATACCTTGTTTATTACACATTTTGAACTTGAAAATCTATAAAATTTAAACAGCAAATACTTAATATTTTTTTCTATTTACAATCTATATAAATATATATATATAAAACATCATTTCATACAATGTATTAATAATTTAGTAACCGTATACAAGGTGTATTATTCACCGAGATTCACGGTTGACCTTGTATTACAGTAAGTAAGCCTGAGCGCTGGGTGCTATCCACCCTCTATCTCGAAAAGGGTTGAGCGTATATAAAAAAATTGAGACAAAAGTTGTGGAAATTTTTTTCATCTTTATTTTTCATAATAGGTGTTCAAGTGATTGGAACCATAGAAACGGAGATAATTGCAAAAAACCCATTTTCTTGACCTTTGACCTCGAATAACTTACGACGCAGACACGAGATAATATGAGACTTTTGGGACAACTTTTGGAACGCCAAAATGAAGCTGTACACGAGTTTCGAGCTTATTATCTCAATTCCCAGATTGACCCCTTTTTTCCCTAAAGTGACTGGACTATTACCTGCGATGGTAGATCGAGCTTGAGCAGCGCGTCGTAAGTGTCCCGCAGGTCGCGCAGGTTGATGTTGAGCCGCGCGCGCATCGCGTCCGCGCCCGCGCCGCCCCCGCCGCTCAGTAAGCACGCGCGCATGTGAGTCGAGAACAACTCCACCGCCGCTATTATCATTTCCTATGCGCCAGAAGGAAATAATTACAACCGCAGTCAGGGAATAAAATCAGTTAACTTCTTAGTTTCACCAAAGCTGAGACTTTCAATTTCTTAGCGATAGCATGGTTATAAAATGACTCGCAACGCGTCCGCACTCGCTTCGCAGTCAGAGTAGTAATTTAAATTTGAATAAAGATAATGCTATCACTTTCATTGCGAAAACGATCGATCGATAGAATAAGACAATGCGTGCTTTCTAAAGCATTAAATTAAGTTGACGTTTCTGCCTCAAACAAGCTCTCAGTGCATAACATAATAGTGCAATTGATTTCGGTCTCAAAGCTAACCTTGAGGCTTTCTAGCGTTCAGTCCCCTCTGCTGGCCGCCCAGTTCCCCGGCGAAGTACCGCCTCGCGAGCGGCCACAGAGCGTTCAGTTCCGTGGACAACGCACTACAAGACGGCACACACCATAGCAAGCGGCAGGTTGTGCAAGTGTTTCAGTGCTAAAGCTTAAGTACCTTGAGGCTCTCGTGGCGTTCTGTTGCCGATGGTTGCCCGCCCAATTCACCAGCGAAGTACCGCCCCGCGAGCGGCCACAGAGCGTTCAGTTCCGTGGACAACGCAACACAAGACGCCCCACACCATAGCAAGCGGGTATTCAAGGGATTTTAGTCCTAAAGCTTAAGTACCTTGAGGCTCTCGTGGCGTTCTGCTGCCGATGGCTGCCCGCCCAATTTACCGTCGAAGTACCGGCTCGCGAGCGGCTACAGAGCGTTCAGTTCCGTGGACAATGCACCAAAAGACGACCCACACCATAGCAAGCGGGTATGCAAGGGATTTCAGTCCTAAAGCTTAAGTACCTTGAGGCTCTCGTGGCGTTCTGTTGCCGATGGTTGCCCGCCCAATTCACCGGCGAAGTACCGCCTCGCGAGCGGCCACAGAGCGTTCAGTTCCGTGGACAACGCAACACAAGACGCCCCACACCATAGCAAGCAGGTATTCAAGGGATTTCAGTCCTAAAGCTTAAGTACCTTGAGGCTCTTGTGGCGTTCTGTTGCTGATGGTTGCCCGCCCAATTCACCGGCGAAGTACCGCCTCGCAAACGGTCACAGAGCGTTCAGTTCCGTGGACAACGCACCACAAGATGCCCCACACCATAGCATGCGGGTCGTGCAAGGGATTTCAGTACTAAAGCTTAAGACCTTGAGGCTCTCGTGGCGTTATGTTGCCGATAGTTGCCCGCCCAATTCACCGGCGAAGTACCGCCTCGCGAGCGGCCAAAGAGCGTTCAATTCCGTGGACAACGCACCATAAGACACGCCACACCATAGCAAGCAGGTCGTGCAAGGGATTTCAGTCCTAAAGCTTAAGTACCTTGAGGCTCTCGTGGCGTTCTGTTGCCGATGGTTGCCCGCCCAATTCACCGGCGAAGTACCGCCTCGCGAGCGGCCACAGAGCGTTCAGTTCCGTGGACAACGCACCACAAGACGCCCCACACCATAGCAAGCGGGTATGCTAGGGATTTCAATCCTAAAGCTTAAGTACCTTGAGGCTCTCGTGGCGTTCTGTTGCCGTTGGTTGCCCGCCCAATTCACCGGCGAAGTACCGCCTCGCGAGCGGCCACAGAGCGTTCAGTTCCGTGGACAACGCACCACAAGATGCCCCACACCATAGCAAGCGGGTATGCAGGGGATTTCAGTCCTAAAGCTTAAGTACCTTGAGGCTCTCGTGGCGTTCTGTCGCTGATGGTTGCCCGCCCAATTCACCGGCGAAGTACCGCCTCGCGAGAGGCCACAGAGCGTTCAGTTCCGTGGACAGTGCACCGCACGCCGCCCCACACCATAGCATGCGGGTCGTACTCCAGGAACCCTCACTTTCAGACTCCTTGGTCTTCCGTTTACCTATGCAAAGTAAGTTGAAATTCTAATCGAGTTTTGGTTAGAATGCTTTCAGAATTTGGTCATTAATAATAATGCAAAAGGGCAGTATTCATGCGAAAGTAATACTTTTTCTGGAGCAAGCAATCCAGCCCCTCTAGCATGTGCACTGCGATATGATATTTAAGCTTTTTTCTTAAACATGCTTGGAAATGTGAGGATTATTTTGACAACCTTCTTCGATATGACTCGAAACTGCTGTACTGGCCACATAGATGCGAGCAGCAGCCGGCAAAAGTTGGAGCGTTCTTTTACCCACACATGGCAAACAAGGGGGAACTTATCAAAAGTTTAATTTAAATTTGGAATAGGGCTGCAAATAGAAAGCTGTTTTGATAAAAAAAAAACAAATTAACTAACGCGAGAAAAATTATTGCTCGTTGTTCGTCATTGATCTTGATCAGTAATTATTTAAATCTTAAGTATATTTTACTACAAAATATTCCACGCGGACCAGGCAGCAGACGGGACTCGAACCCGCACCCTTCGCTATCCGGGCGAATGCACTGACCATTATGCTACCGCGGCCCTGATGGCCGTGTCAAATTTTCTCTAGTGTTTCTTATCAGCGCCATCTCTTCCCATTATAGTTAAACCACAATTAAAAGTAATTATTTAGTTTTAATTTACTATTATTTGAGAAAAGCACTATGCAAGCCTTGGCCACAGCTAGGCATTGATGGACTTACGTATGTGAGCCGAGGCGACCGTCCATCAATGCCTTTTGCTGACCGCTGCAGTAATGTACTATTATCGACCCTTAGTAACTTGACCTTCAATGTCCATAAATAGCTTTTTCATATCGCGTTTCATTGAAACAGGGTATGCTAGGTGGGGAGGGGGCGGGGAAATGGAAGGCAGAGGATGGGCAAATGGATATTTTGTTTTTTTGATGTATTGAAGTTCTTTCTGTTAAATTTTTTGTTCGTTTTGAAGAGAAATCCATCAACAATCGATGGAAAAATCAAATAGTAAATATATTTTAGTAAAACTTTAGATATATACAATACACTATTCGCAATAAGTTGCGAAAAATCAAAACGATCAGGTCAACTGCATTTATTAAATTTTATCGTAATACATACCTTTTTCATTACTTTCTTGATCCTCCTTTTTCTTGAAATGGTCTTTTACTTTCTCCATGAGACTCATGAGATAGTCTTTTCGAGTGGTGATAGCAGTCCATGCAGCATCACCTTCCCAATTCAGGCTTATTAGTAATCTAAAAACATATTTATTATGCATTACCCCATATAACATCAACAGGACTTAAGTACAGATAAATAATTTAATAGCACTCACCTAATGTAGTTTGTTTGTTCCTGAACATTAATAGGCATGGTCTTCATCCTTGTATGTAATTTTTCTTTCAAATCCACAATTTTTTTATCGATTTCAGCAAGAATTTTTTGAAACAGCTATAAGAAATATCTGGATTAATTTTATTCTAATAATTTTGTTACGGCTATATTATAGTCTTTGCAAATACTTCGAACACATACTTTGATATCAGTGTTTCCAAACAAATTTTTTACTCTTGTATAATCATTGACAACTAAATCATATTCCTTCTTCCTAATGTTCCTGTCTATAGATGAGGGTAGCTGAAAGAGGAATTTGTGCCGCGTGAGCAATGAGAGAGCTTCGCGGGTTTTGTCTGCATTCTCCTTTCGAGAGAGTATCTCAGAAAATAGGGAATCAGCCAGAGTTATAGAGTCTGAAAATTAAAATATAGGTTTGAAAAATCATATCAGAACCAAGCCCATGGGCCTAATAATTTATAAATATATTTTTCAGCACTTATGGTATTTTAAACAGAATTTCTGAAAAATAACTAAAGCTTGGAAGAGTTTAGTTTACCCTCTATAGCTGTTTGCAAACTAGGCAATGGCTCCTTGCCATTCTTCCTTTGATCTTCTTCATACATGTTCTTGAGTAGTACAAGTCGATCTAGTTGGTCCATCACAGATCCTGTATTTGCTTTCAAGAAACTAAGTTGCCCTTCTTTTTGTCCCTCAACCTAAATGAAAGATAAATCTTTACTATGATCAGAGGCGTCACTGTGTAATTTCTTCGCTTTAAACTAGACTTGCAACGAATATTCGGTTACTATTCGGTATTCGGCCTATTCGGCTGCTTTTATTATATTCGGCCGAATACCGAATACTTAAATAATATATTTTGTCAAAGAGAAATAATTGGTAAAATGAAAATTTAAAATCGATTGATTACGTATATCTTCAAATTTTCATTTCTGTTATATAATCATTTAAGTAGTCATTGGTACATAACACAGGTACATAATTCATCTTCTGAATTGGAAAAATGTAGGATTCTATGTACCTATTTGAATTATTGTGGTAATCAAAATTTAGAAGGGTAAGGTCCTCATTTCTTTTATAATCATTTATTAAGTAGTCATTGGTACATAAAACAGGTACATAATTTAATTATTTTCTGTGTTAAACAAGTAAACAGTTTTTAATTCATTCAGTCATGTGATGAATGGTTACATAATAGCAATAATTTAAAGTTTACGCGCCGTTTTTGGCCATATCTCAAAAGTTGGTTTTGTCATTTAGCCGCTTTTAGCTTGAGGACGGCAGATTAGAACAAAACAAAGGAGCGCGAAACAATCACGTCTGTACAAGTTGTTAGCGCTAAAATCCAGCCTAATACTTTTGCCTAATATTCGGCTATGCTATTCGGTCAGGGGCCTCGCCGAATATTCGGTATACTGCCGAATATACTATTCGTTGCAAGTCTACTTTAAACACATTACACTATTAATACAGGTAGGTATATACCTAATTCAATAGTATAGTCGTCCTATCAAATAAACATAACATTAAATTCTTATATAATCACTTGAATTATTAACATTATGATTTCAATACTATAAAGTATAAAAATAATGTCAATAAATATGTCAATAAAAAAATTTAATGTCAATGTAACTAAACGTCAATAAAAACTGAATAACTTAACTGAATGCATTGAAACCATCAATTCAAAATTATGTTGTATGAAACTGTTACCCCACGTGTAAAAGCTACCTACGTGACAGTGGCGGAATTGTAATCACAAGCCATAAAATAAATGAAGAAGAATAACTTTAATTGAAGATGCAATACCATTCAGATTATAATATTGCAATACAATAAAAAACATAATATAATTGTCAAAAGAAACTAAAATTCAAAATATATTACTCAAATACATAAAATATATTACAACAAAATGACAATAATTTTATTTATTGCACAACACCAACAATACCCTAGATACACCAACACGAACAAAATTGTGCCTGAAACCTGTCCAAAAGGTACATTGAACGATCCTCGGAGCTCCGTAAGATGATCGCGTAGTCAAAATCAATATAAGGCATTAATTAAATATTGAAAGTAACCTTTAACACATACTGTATAAGGTCTTAAATAAAAAGCATGCGTCAAGGACTTCCGACAGTTCGAAATGCAAGCTCGTAAAATTTTACGACTTATTGCTATATGCGGAATAATTTAGACCTTAGTTCTTTGGCTCTACGCGCAATTCTGAACGCGCTGTTAGCAATATAGCAGGCACGGACAGGGAGGAAAAGAGAGGGCTATATGGCGACGTATAACCGACCATGCATTTGAATATCACAAATATTTTATATTAACTCAGTTTATAGTAAGTATTACATCAAAATTTGCTTCAAGTGCGTTGAATTAACCAACTTAGACAAGATACCTGGCGAAAAACGACACTTTTCGTACTCTAAGTATTATTTTCGCATTTTTTCGCGGAGCTCTGTGGCATCTTGACTTTGTAACGGTCCGCGCGTGACTGTGAACCAAGAAGTGCTTGAGTGGAGTTCAAGCACTTCTTGATTGGGATACATTTTGAGCGCTCGTGGTGTATCTAGGGTATTTAATATCGTTGCACAACACTTTTAAAGTTACTTTCGTAAACTCGCCAATTGAACACATAAATACATAGATTGGGCAACTGCATTGAATGTGTGCATTGTTTGTGCCAGCAAGCCTGCCTTATTTTATAGAAGGAATAGGAAAGAAATTTTGTTATGTCACATTGACCCTTTTCTTTAACTTTGAAAGGGTAAATCGATAAAGTTATACAGTTTTGGGAAAACAATTCAATAGTAAAACAGACTTATCACAAAAATATTCACAGAAAACTTTAAGATTACTTATTAATTAAAAATAATGATACTAAGGGTTTACACTATTTATTATTTTTATGTACAGTGGGGGTCACGGGCGCGTCTTCTGAAATCTTTCCTGTGCAAGCGTTAGACGGGTGATTTTACGAGCCCATCCTGATTGGTCGTAGTATTTTACTATAACCAATTAGCATAGCGCTGCACTGGGTGCATTTAAGAATGATGCGTGCGAGATTATGCGCGGCGTTGCTCTATGCCGCTACACAGCTACAGCCAGCGGTTTGGCAACATCTCAGGATTTCTGTAATGCGCGTGCGATATCGGGACCAAATAAAGAAATAATAAAACAACAACAATAATCATACGCGTAATTTTACATTTGGTTTTGATTTTAATATTGAATTCATGAATCTGGTATAGTCATACTTTTAAAGTAAACCTATAACCTTTTTACTCTCAAAAAAAATGAGCTTAATAATTATTTATTTTATTGTTATTATGCTCTTGTAAAAAAAAGGTACTAGCTTTCCGTCAGCGGCTTCGCACGCGCAGAACAAAACTTTGATCCTACATTGTAACCACTCAGAGTATAAATTAGAAAATACCTACTACCATTTTCTTATTTTCTAAGGTAGCCTAATTAATTACCAACTCCGATTATAACAACTTTAAAAAAAAAAAAAATTATACACATTTATCCCCATTTTGAGGAAGTTTCCTAAAATCCTTTTTAGGCAACGACTCCTAATCATTAATTACTTTCGTGTAAAATTTCACCTTAATATTTTAGTAGTTTTCGAGATTTGTCAGTGAATAAATACTCAAGTGGTTTCGGTTCTATATACCTATCTAAAAATATATGCGTTATGTTATAGATAGTATATGTATCCCCTTTAGCACACCATGCACCCTTGCCTTGCACAGACTGCAAGCTCATCATTATGTACTCATAGCCGCCAGTCCCATCCATACGATCCGCAGTCTCGATCCAACTTCCTAACCAGACGGCTGTCCTACTAAATAAATAAAATTGTTTTTTTTAAAAAGCCATTCTTCCCGAGGCTCATAACATTAAATGGTGGCAGCGTAAAGGGATTCAAAAAGAGTCCCCGGTACGTCTTCGAAACCCAAAATCGACGCGTGTGTTTGTGCGTGTGAGTGTAAGCGCCAGCTCCATTGTGTAGAACGGTTACGTTATTGCACCGAGTTCCGGCCCGGCCCTCTTGGTCGCCTAATTGTTCGTGAAAAGTTCGTGAAAGGCCCATTGCTGCGTGCCGTTTGTACTGCAGCCGGCCTTTGCCCAGAACCAGCGAGACTATACCCGCTGTCGCGCACAATTCAGTGCTGCGACCGGTATAATTCTACGACGCGACGACCCGAGGCTTATCATCACGCAGACTTCCCACGCACGGCGAGTTAAGCTCCAAGAAATGATTAATACCTTTATCGTGCTATCTGCATTCTAGTAAGTGACTTTATAAGTTTGGTCATTGCTATTATCATATATTAAATAAGTGTTCTGATTAATTAATCATACCAGCGTCTTTCACGGATTCTACTCCAATATTTTATATAGATTTCTTATTATTATTTTTGTTATTATTCTACAATGGCAATGGATAGACCTAGGAGTCCTAAATTCGATAACCCCGATATTGCTATTACCGACACGGAGGACGATAGCCAAAACCAATGTCCACCTCCTCTAGGACCTTCCACTAGGTCAGGTGCTCGACGAAAAATCACACCAAGATTGGAAATTGAATTATCCACCTTATTAAAATTCATAAAACCGTACGACGGTTCCAGAGAAAAATTAAATTCCTTTCTCGTAAATTGCAATAATGCTTACGAGCTTGCCGCAGATTCCCAAAAGGATTTATTATTTAAATACATTCTTTGCCAATTAGAAGGTAAGGCAGAGACCGCTTGTTCCATAAAGGAATTCGCCACTTGGCAACAGTTAAAAGATTTCTTGAAAACACAGTTTAGTGAGCGAAAGCATTATGCTCACCTGCTCACAGATTTGCAAGAGTGCAAACAACAGCCTAACGAACCAGCTAGTCAGTATGCTCTAAGGATTGAGACATGTCTATCCGATTTATTAACGGAAATATCAATTTCTCACGGTCACAAAAGTAGGGAAATGATAGGACGGTCGGCCGCCATGGAGGAACTAGCCCTCCATCACTTCCAAATGGGGTTGCATCCCCGAATTTCTAACATTGTTAGGTGTAAATCGGCTAAATCATTAAACGACGCTATTAATCTAGCAATTTCTGAGGAGAGAATCCAACAAACACTTTCTAGGCAAGGCCCGAGCCAATCCAGCAACCAATATGCGCGTCAGGACAGACATAATTTACCAAGGCCTAATACACAATTTGTCCACCGTAGCCAAGGACAACCAACTTCTAACCAGTTCTACCAAAGACCCAGCTCTAATACTAATCGCTCTTATAGTGGCAATGCTTCGGCCACCCCATTTTGCCGATATTGCAAAACACCAGGTCACACCCTGGAACAATGTAGGAAAAGGGAATATAACAATAACCGGTTTAAAAACCTTGACCAAATTCAAACAAGAGCTCCCCAACGTATAAATTACGTTGAAGACGGTGCACAAGAACCTAACGACGATGAATACCCAACTAATCCTGACGACGGCTATGATACCGTCGATTCCAATCCAAAAAACTAAAGACTGTCTCGTCCCTGTGTCGTACGGGACCTCGTGCACCAAAAATCGACACAGCTGATTCAAACAAAAAATCCAAAGTATATAGATGTCGCTACAAACCTGATCCACCGCAAGTATCGCTACATGATGACTTGCCGAAATCCACTGT